TGCTGAAAAAAAGAAAAAACATCTATTGACTTTCATAGTATGTTGATGTTGTTGCTGTTCCTATAAATGTCAAGGGCCGCTGGGGTCCGTTCTTCGTACGTGGATTACTCAGTTAGCTGGATTTGGATATTGACTTTGACATGATCCAGGATCGTTTCGTTCTTTAAAGCTGATCCGAGTGTTGTTGTCATAGCAACACTTCTGCTAGGTCAAACCTGATCGGAAGCAGGTTTAATTCATATAAACAGGATTAGATCGGCTCAGTTAAAGCAAATAATAGAGAAAGCATGTTCCAAATTCTGATATTTTCTTACAGTAGTAGTTTTATACACTTGGGAAAATAGTAAATATTTTTTAACTATATATATAAAGTTATATTTATTAATAAAATTAATTAAGTTATACATATTAATAAAACGTATGCAATCTGCACCCTCGAAATGAAAGTACAAAGACTGTCACCTGCTGGTGCAAAGAGAGAACTTATTGATATGAACTTTTTAGATCGCTTTAGTACAATTTGTGTATAATAATAATAAGAATGCAGAATATGTGACTTTAAAAAAAAAAGAAATAATACATTAATGCAGTCATAAACATGTTTTGACAGTTAATATGCCAGTGATTATGCTTCACAAAAGTTGCACATGCCTTTACCAATATCAAAATGCTTTTGTAAACATCCAGTTATTCCATACAGCGATTAAAAAAACGGCTACTATAATAAAGACTGCCGCTTACAACAAATGTGAAAGGTTATTGCGTGTCATATTTAACAAACTGTTTACTGCTAATTTGATGTAATTTTGCTCACATGGATAATTGAATATTAATCAGATGATGTCATTACGCTGCTGTGCCGTCAGCCAATCGCTGCATTGCTGATCATGATTTCGAGGATCGATAGATCTGTCCTTCACAACACACGCAGCGATCTCAGATCAGTTCATCCAGACATTCTAATCTGATTCACGAACTTGTTTGAAGAACCAAATTAGCGAGAGATCAGTTATCAAGATTAAAAGATCCAGGATCGGCCAAATCATCTTAGATCATTTAAGCAAGGTACGAAGAACAGACCCCTGTTCCTCAAGATTCTTCACAATATCATGTTTTGTGATCAACAAAAGAAAAATTCATAACAGTTTCGAACCAAACCAGTGTGTTTTTAGGTGAACTGTCCCTTTAAGACAAAGGTATCAAACCGTATCAAACTCTGGAGGGCCGCAGCTCTGCACTGTAGCTTTAACCAACTGCAACTCACACCTGCTTCATAGTCTCTAGTAGTCTCAAACACCTTGATTAGTTGGATCAGCTGTGTTTGATTAGGGTTGAAACAAAACTGTGCAGAGCTGCGGCCCTCCAGGAATCTAGTTTGAGACCTATGCTTTAAAGGGACACACACGCTTTTGGCACAGATGGTAAGAATAGAGTGTGACTTGGAAATTAATGTATTTATTATTTCTTAAGTAAGCCTATGGAGAGCCATTTTGCGGGTTCATATGGGGGAATGGCTTTTCTTTCTCTAGCATTCTCCTGGTTAATCTAGCATACACCTGTTTCTGTAAACTTGGCATGCTGCGGAGTCTCTGGAGACATGTAGACTCAACAGAGTTGAATATGTGTATAAACAGAGTAGTAAAGATTTCTTTGGTTTTGACTGAATTCACTGTACAAACTACAGAAATCTTTGACCATGAAACTTGTTAGGAACATGAGACTATACCATCGCTGGCACAGGTTAAACACAGAGGAGGCCGTGGGCAGTGATTTGAGGGGTTCTGTTGAACTAATATCTGTTTACGGGACTCTAGTCAGGAACGTGTTTGGACTTAGCAGTCTGTTTGGCTGAACATGCTGTGATAAAGGAAATCAACATCGTTATGTGGTCAGTAGTTGTTAAAGTGGTATGGAGAATTCCTGTGTGAGATGGGCATTGGCGGAGGTCCGTCTGGCAGACAGATTGGCAGAGGGAAAAAAACGGGGATCAGAATAGAGCATGTCAAAATAGGAAAGAAATTGCTGCAATGGTGGGATGGAAGTGTGGAGTTTTGGTTTTAAGATACAGAATGATGAATTGGCAGTGAAGTTATTTGTGCCAACTATTACTAGTCATAGCTATAAAAAGAAACAAAATTAATTTATGTTCATATTTTTTATTTAGCAAGGATGCATGAAAAAGTGCAGTTTACATTTATTATGTTGCAAAAGACTTTTATCTCAAATAAATACATTTTTTTTATTTACATTTATTAATGAATCATTAAAATTTGTTTCCCTGATTTGAGCGATCTAGAGCTGCACAATCTCTTTCAACCGTGAGGATGATAATTATAAATGTTCTTGAGCCGCAAATCCAAAATCAAACAAAAAGTGCTCAGGAGTAGCTTAAATAATGTGCCAGTGCTCTTTGGGCTAGGGATTCATCAGAATAAACAGCAAAAATCAGTCCAAGGCACTGGAAAGATGTGGAAGAAATATTTAAAAGCCTTTATTCACAAGGTTAATCCTTAAAAACCTATATGTGTTTCGGCAGAGAGTTGCCTTCATGGGTAACCAAACATGTTTGCTGATTTGGGAACAATGTCAGTGTCAGTATAGGGAACCACAATTATACCAAAAGTCTATCCTTTTCGGCAAAAATGTCATTCGTGTAACAAAACGTTGTGTTTTTGTTTAACAGATATTTTTATTTAAAAAATATATTCACAAAAAAATCTAAGCAGTTTAATTACACTTCAGTGTGTATCTTATGTGAGGCATGGTAAAAAAAGAAACAAGGTATTTTCTATTTAAGGCTGTGCAATATTGTAAAAACCAGTGGTACAAGTTAAGTAATAATATTACTTTTCTAAGTAACAAGTAAAGAAGTGCCTCACTTTAAAAATAACATTTGAGATACTTTTTTTAAGTTTTTTAAGTTAAATTAATGAGCTTTTAAAAAATAAATTGCTGAATTAAAATTCAAATAGTCACAATGAATCACGCTGTCAATGAGAGAATGTGTTCATTATTTGGAATGCATCGAAGAAAAGCAAAAGTGAATCATAGTCTCAATGGACAGTGTTTTTACTTAAGACAAATAGTATAAAAGTAGCAAACACATTGCTTTAAACTTGCAATAATCTGTATACAGCATGTATAGCTCTGGGGTCAGAAAGTTCTCAGATAACATTATCCTAAAAAAATGTTTTATATGTTTTTGGTCACACTTTACAATAACGTTCTTTAGTTAATGTTAATTAATGCATTTACTAACATGAACAAACAATGAACAATACATTTACTACAGTATTTATTCATGGTAGTAAATGTTAGTTAATGAAAATACAGTTGTTCATTGTTAACTCGTGTTAACTCACGGTGCATTAACTAATGTTAACAAGCACGGACTTGAATGTTAATAATGCATTAGTAAATGTTTAATTAAGATTAATAAATGCTGTACGTGTGTTGTTCATGATTAGTTCATGTTAGTAAATGCATTAACTAATGTACCTTATTGTAAAGTGTTACCATGCTTTTAAAAGGTAAATGTAGGGCTACTGTAGGTCATACAGCGTCTTAGCAATTACAGAGCTCCTTTATTATAAAAAGTAACTGAGTAACGCAACAATTTACTTTTTTGGGGAGTGACTCAATATTGTAATGCATTCATTTCAAAAGCAACTTTCCCCAACACTGGTAAAAACTGTCATTATTTTGTACGTTTTTAAGGTGTCTAACAGTATTCAGGCGCAGAACTTGAATAGTAAAACTTTAAATTACACTGCATAGTCTTCACTTTATACATTGCAATTACAATTATCCTTTTCTATACACAATTAAATCTGCACATTTAAATACACACGTTGCAATTTTGAAGCTATAGTGATATACTGTATTTGCAGTCCTAATTTTTATGTATGTGAAAAACTTTTATTAACAAAAGCTTTTATTAATTTAAAGCTTTTATTTTAAAATCATTCTTGAAAAAAAATCTGTTCTTCTTTGACCCATAAAAAAAGCTTTTAACACAGTTACATCCTTTCTCTGTGTGAAAAACAAATGTCTTTTTTAAAGTTCTTGGCCTGCATTTCCATTTTGTGCTGTCTCATTTCACTGTATGTCTTGGAGTAGGGCAGGGCTGCACTTGTCTGTTTTTAGTAAAGGCATCTTGCTGTAGACTCTTGAGCAAATCTTTGACATAGTAAAACACACCACCAATATTGTCTCTGTCTGATTGTGCCAGCAGGACATTGGAAAGAAGAAATATCACTGCCAGAAGAATATTTCTGAAATGTCTGTACGTCTTTCTACTGTTTCTGTTTGCATGTCTGTCTGTATTTGTCTGTCTATCAATTTGTCTTTCAATTTCATCCATCTATCAATTCGTCCATCTGTTTATCCATTTGCCAGATCAAATAAGAATAGTAGAGTTGTAAAATATACAATAAACATTTAAAATACTTTAATATATTTCCAAAAATGTAATTTATATCTCTGTCATGTGAAATCAAATATCAGCATCTCAGTCTTCAAAAAATATTACTATATACTGGTTTGCTGCTCAATAATAAAATCTGATCAATAATTAAGTCAAGAATTGGCCAAAACCAAATAAAAAAAAAAACTTTTTTTTTTTGGTTAATTACACTACACTGTAAAACCCAAAAAGTTGAGGTAACTCAAACCGTTTGAGGAAACCGATTGCAGCAAACCATTTAAGTTCAAAAACTAATCCTAATGAGTACTGTCTGCTTAATCCATTTGAGTTAACGAAGCAATTTGAGCCCAATAAAACCCAATAAATGAAGAGAACTTAAGCCAACTGAGTACTGTAAAACCCAATAAGTTAAGGCAACTCAAACTGTTTGAGGAAACCGATTGAAACAAACCATTCGAGTTAAAAACTAATCTATTTGAGTACTTTGAACTAAATTTAAGCTGAAGTGATGAGGTATTTAATTAACTTGTTACTTTTAACACTGAGCTCAACTCTTTTCAAATGAGTAGAATTAACTTTCAGTCAATTTTAAGTTAACTGCACTCATATCATTTGATAAAGTTGACTGTTGGGTTTTACAGTGTATGTTAGTAGAAACATAAAAAACGTGACTGAACTTCGCTGTACCCTTTACTACATTTACCTTATATTTTGATGAACAAGCCAGAAATACATTGTAGGTTAATGTGAAAGTCAAAGTGTATTAGACACCGCTATGTTTCTGTGGTTCAGTGTGTGTTCCCACAGTTTATGATACACTCCGTGAAGTGAAACGCCAACACAGCACCAGCACAGGTGCAGCCGAGAGACTGCCATGCCCAAAATCATGGAGCGCTGTGCCACAGAAATACTAGGTATGTGTGTGTGGAGTTACACTGCTATAGTTTATTATGCAACTTGAGCACAGAAGACTCATAAACGCTCGTAAGTTTGTCATTTACACAAAAACGCACACATTCTTGTGCGTACCTAAGCTTTCAGAAAAACTAAATGTGCTGGTGATTATTTATCTTCACATCTTCTGTAGCGGTGGCACACGGTCAAACTCCTGCGGGCCTCAAACTGCGTGTGAGGTATATTTAGAAATGGAAAATTTGCTTATTAACGGCTCTGACACCAGATATCAGGTAATATGCTGTGGTACAGTATGTGTTCGTTTCTGCTCCAAGCTTCTGGGTGGCTTGTGGTTAATTTCTGGGTGTCCATTTAAGTGGACAATAGAGGACACAAATTCCCAGCTACATCAAACCTGTCCGTCTTTATGTCTATTTTAAGGTTATGAGCACATAATCACAGCGCCCCCATCTGAATCTTCCTTGGTTTAACAACTTAACAGTGTTTTTATCAGGATTCACTGGATTTTTGGATCATTCACTGTTTGTAATGATGACATTAAGGAACAAAGGGATTGTTCACTCAAAAATGAAAATTTGCTGTTAAATTACTCGCGCTCAGGACAGCCATTTTTTCCTCAGTTGACCATTAACAAATATTCTTAGCTAAAACTTTGGATGATAGTAATTCGTCAAATGCAAGTCAAAGGCTAATCGCACTTTGAGAGTCTAAAAAAACAAATGGGTAAATCAAAATGAAAGATGTCATTAGGTAAGTGCAAAAATTCTCCAAAAGCGGTTTTATATGATTATTTATAACCATATAACCTATAAAACAAAATACAACAACTTTTTTTGAGCATATTTGGAGTGTGTGATTGACATTTACACACAAGCAAACACACTAATATGTATAGACCAGGGGTGCTCAATCCTGTTCCTGGAGATCTACCTTCCGGCAGATTTCAGTTGCTACCCATATCAAACACACCTGCCTGTAATTATCAAGTGAAGTTCAGGTCCTAATTAATTGGTTCAGGTGTGTTTGATATGGGTAGCAACTGAAATCTGCTGGAAGGTAGCTCTCCAGGAACAGGATTGAGCACCACTGGTGTAGACTATATATGACTGATAATATCGTGCAATGTTACTATTGTGGATGCGGACAGTGTGATATCGATGGTGAAATGATATAATGTGCAGCTCTTACTATTGTTTTATTGTTGTAATCTCATTAGAAAGCGTTGTGGCCAATCAAACACTGACTGGGGCATGCATATTTATGATTCCAATGGATCGCCAGAATGTGTTTTGTTCCGATTGGACTGTTTTTTTATTAGGACTTTATACTCATTGGTACAAACAATGGTGTTCGAAGGCCATGGTATGTCATTTCATTTACTGAACTAGATACATTGAGATTTAATAACTTAACCATTCAAACTGAACATTGTTTAAACATAAATATTACTTTTAATCCACAGTCAACTCAAATGGTCAAGTGTGAGCTTCCTATTTTGTAATGAAATACATTTTGTTTTAAACTCGCATGTTAGCTGATGATTGTTTTTTCTATTTTACATATTTACAGCATCCGAGAAAAGCTCAACCATTAAAATGAACAATACCACAATCATCTTTAATGTTTTAAAAAGAAAAAAAGTCAGCTACATCTTTGATGGCTTGAGGGTGAGTAAACTGACAAGCACACTCGGCTGACCTCATTGCTAATGTATTGGTTGGAGTTTCTATTTCTCGTACAAAATTATTAGGAGAAGAGTGTTTGGGAGGAAAACAATTACACAATGGTAGCACTTAACAACAAGGTTATAAGTTATTGTCAGGAATGTTTTTACGAAAATGAACCCACAATTTATTCACTTTTGTAGAGTAAAATAAAGTCATTCATTGTTAGTTCTTGGTAACCACAGTGCATTTAAAACATTAACAAGCACAACTTGAGATTTTAATTATCCAATAGTAAATGTTAAATCATATGATTCATAAATACTGTACAACTGTTGTTCATGCTTAATTCATGTAATTAATTGCATTAATAGAGATGCACGATATATCGGCAGCCATATCGATATCGGCCGATAAATGCTATTTTTAATATAATCATTATTGGTCCAATATCAAAATGAAGGCAATACCTTTAAGCTGATAGATTATGTAATTGTACAGAACTGCCTGCCTCGTGCATGTGTGGGTTGAACTTGTCCAGTGCACTATGTAGCTTTTCTCACATTGTTTATTCCTTTAAAGTCCGTCATTTCTTTGTGTGGTATTGCTGTGCATTAATAAATCAAATTCCTTATCATTGTTGAGATGTTTGATAGAGTGTAAAGTTGTTCACTGTCTAAAAATTTAACTTTTTGAAATATTTATATTTATCGGCTAATTTATCAGGTTTCGACCTCCAAATCTTAAGTGTTATCGGTTATCGATATTGGCAAGAAAAACCCATAATGGTGCATCTCTAGCATTAATCAATTTTCCATTGGTTAATGCTAGGGATGCACAGTTATGGACTTTTTTTTGAGTGATTTTGAGTAGCCAATTTACTGGTATTAGTAACACCCTAAAAATGTGTTATTAATAGACTAATTTGATTTAATACAGTTGTCTAATTATTATTATTATATTATTAATATTTATTAATTTTGTACAGAATTAAAAGTATTTCATTTATAATATTGACTATGCTATTACTTTGTTTTTTGCACATACTGAAATTGCATTGCATGGCTGCTTTAGAACTGGAAAGTTTTGGAGGCAGCACTAATCCGTTTTTCTAGCTTTTTAAAACGACACTACAGTCTACATTTGTTTAAAAAAAACACATTAAAAATAAATAATATTTAATGTCAGTTAATAAAGTGTCAAACAAGAATATGCCTCTGTAAAATAAACTGTGTGAAAGCATTTTCTAGAATGAAAATATTTTCCAAACAAACACATTGAGAGTTTAATGAGCATATTCATCATTCATCACACTTGAAGTCAGCACAAACACACAGACACCCATGAGACAGGACACTCGCACAAACAGATTGAAGATGGATGGATGGTTAAAAAAAGTCATTAGTCTAGTCTTACCTTGTAATGTGTGCATTCTGTGTGAAAGGTGTCTGTGTTTGTATTGAGAGGATGTGCTGGGATTTGCTCAGTGCAGGTTCTGTGTTCAGTGCACAAAGGTTTGTCGTGTTCACATAAAGGTGGAAAACGCTAAAAGTCCCAATAAACCGGTGATGACGTAGTGCTGAAGGCTTTAAATTGCTGTTCAAATATGACTTCACTAGACTGAATTTTTGCCAGCGACTGTCCTCCCTTGTGAAAAACAAACTTTTATAAATGCCTATAATGTGGAACTTTGCAACAACACATCCTACACTGGTTGGTATTATTCAACATGGTTTATTTACAAATTTTAGCTAGAAGGATATGTAGACGGTTTGTAATTAAAACAAAGTCGCTCAAAGGTTAACAGCAGGACCTGTCTGGACTTTAAACCTTGGGCTCTTTTTATCACAGTACACATACGGACTATCCTAAACCATTTAAGCAAACTCATTAGTCTGCCTAAAGCAGGGTTGTCAAACTCAATTCCTGGAGGGCCGAAGCCCTGCACAGTTTAGTTCCAACCCTGCTCCAACACACTTACCTGTAGGTTTCAAACAAGCCTGAAGGACTCAATTAGTTTGATTAGGTGTGTTTAATTAGGGTTGGAACTAAACTGTGCAGAGCTGCGGCCCTTTTGGAACTGAGTTTGACACATGTGGCCTAAAGGGACAGTTCACCCAAAAATTTATATTTCCTCACCATTTAATCACACTCAAGTGGTTCTAAACTTTTATCAATTTCTTCTGGTAAACAAAAAAGATCTATTAAAGAATGTTATAGTAAAAAGTTCCTTTTGAATTCCATTGTTTTTTTTTCATATTATGTACACTGTTTTGTACATATGTACAAAAGTCTTGTCCAAGTTTTAGGAACAACAAATAATAACTCGACTTGTAGTGCATCATTTGGTATCAGAAGTGGCTTATATGAAAAGCAAAGGCCTCTAGATCACGCTTCATTTACCAAAATTAAATACGATCATGCCTTGATTTTTAATTATCTAATTAGGACAGTAGTGTTTAACTCTGCTCAGACAAAAGTCTTTTCACTTAACAACAATAATGTACAGTATAGAATATAAAGTCATGCTGCAGTGGAAAAAGAATTATTATTGTGTATGACTCCCATGAACTTGACTGCATCCATACATCTCTGCAATGTCTCAAATAACTTATTAATAAAGTCATCTGGAATGGCAAAGAAAGTGTTCTTGCAGTACTCCCAGAGTTCATATCGATACTTTAGATTCATCTTCAATGCCTCCTTCCTCTTATCGCAGACATGCTCAATAATGTACATGTCTGGTGACTGGGTTGGCCAATCCTGGAGCACCTTGACCCTCTTTGCTTTCAGGAACTTGAATGTGGAGGCTGAAGTATGAGAAGGAGCGCTATCCTTCTAAAGAATTTGCCTTCTGTGGTTTTTAATGTATTGGGCTGCACAAATGTCTAAATACCTCAGGCTGTTGATGTTCTGCAGATCTCTCGCCCAAACCAAGATTTTTCCTTTACCAAACTTGACTGATTTCAGTAAGAATCTTAGGTCCATGCATGATCTAGTAGGTCTGCAGTTTTTGTAATGATTGGGATGCAGTTCAACAGATGATTCATCAGAAAAATCTATTTTCTGCCACTTTTCCAACTGATCAACTAGAAGTTAAGTTAATATTTGTTGCTCCTACTACTGGGATCGATGACAAGACTTTTGTCAAACAGTGTATGTCAGTAGTAATATTCTTCAGAATACCTTGTTTTGTGTTCTTAACAAATTCCTCAAAGATTAGAAACACTTAAGTGTGATAAAATATGAAGAAACATGTACATGAAACTCATAACCAGGGGCAGATTTAACCTATAAGCAAAGTATCCCATAGGGCCCTAGAAATTTTTAGGACATCCGATAAATACATAGAAGTATAAATTATACCTATAATGTTGTTTTCTATCATATTATGTATGGTGAGGGTTTAACAAATCACATTTTATTATAAGTATTACATCTACGCAAATTTGTCTTATGTCCCCAATCATGTAGTCAAATCAAGCAAAGATATAGTTTTAAAAAACATTTATTATTTCTATTATTTATTATCATGCATTAAAGTAAAAACTTAGAAAAGGACATTGAGTGATTATAATGATTTTTAATGATTGAGAGTTTGATTTAATGATTAAATGTCGAAAGGGTGCATTTTACGACTGTTGACTGGAGTTGCTTAGGGCTCACATACACTAAACCATGTGCACTATATGCTGCACATAAGCATATAAAATTTATTGTAACACTTAAATATATTTCTTTTTTTTAATAAAAATGTATGCTTTAATATCCTCCAAAGCATTTTGAATGCTTCTAAATAACACATCCACGCATAATGTCTATCAGAAACATTATGGAAGCTTTTATAAAGTCTTCAGGGGTAACTAGAGTATTTTGAGCTGTCATAGGGCAAGCGGTGGAACATCTGAGGACAAGATTTATTCAAACAAAAGGAAAACCTGTATTTTTTTCCCGAATCATTGAAAACAGAAGCGACTGCAGTGACTCACGTTGTGTTTTTACTGCTATAAATCATGCCGCTTGATTCTTAGTGTGAGGTGAGGCCTCATCTCCAGTGCCATGTGTAAAAGCAGACCTGCCTAAAATAATATTTTTAGACCAATGCTTAATCCCTATAAATAAATATGTGTGTAGATGATTCATATTGTAATAATAATTGAATATCCCATCTATTATCAATACGCTGGCAGGTTATTTATGCCATCAGTGTAGTGAAGTGCTATGTATGGTTGTGATATTGCTACATAAAATATCTTATTATACACTATATTTTTAAATATGATATTTATTACAATATTGTACAAGAAGAACTGAAGGCAGGGCATTTAATTATTAAAATAATACACAGCCTAAATAGTGATACTTTTTTTCCGAACAATTCATTGGAAAGGAGTCAATTGTTTCACTTGTATAGTTACAACTTAATTCACTAGCAGGACATTGTTTAAATGATTTGGCTATAGACAAATGTAAGGTTTTGGCTCTTAAAACACCTAATAGAACAAACTGTTGCTAATTCCATATCACATTAGACATTGGAGGCTAATCATAGCAGAATACACTGTAAAACAAGGTTATTTACTTTACTTTAAAAAAGTAAGTAAACCCAGTGCCTTAAAAACAACATGTTGACCTAACTTTAAAAAGTAATTTGCTTGTAACTTAGAACATTTAAGTTGATTTAAATTTCATAATTATGCACAGAATTCATTAACTTTTAAGGCAATTGATTAACTCTCTTTTTGTTAGGAAAAGCAATCTAAGCTTTTTTACAGTATAATACAGAGAGTAAGAAAAAAATAATTGGAGTCTGTGTGTCTCTTAACAGAGTTTGCCAGCAGAACAGTGGAACTTTAAGTAATGAGTTACATCATGTAGCTTTTCATTTCCAAAAAAATAAAAATAATTATTATTATTACTACAGTTGCTTGACAGTGTTACGTTTAGTTTGTTGTTGTTTTTTGCTACACAGAAAAAAAATGGTACAAGATTTGTCCCTGGGGCAGTAACTTTTCAGAAGATCTACATTTCGTCACCTTGAAATTATAAGGTTCTGTCTGCGTTCTGAAGGATTTTGAGATATTGAGCTTCAAAGTTTTTAGCATTCCATAGCAAATTGTATGTTTGTAACATGTTTTTTTTTATTGTTTTTTTTTTTTAATAAAAAGTCTTAAAATGTAAACAACTTATAAAAAACATCCCATAATGTAGACAAGTTGTCATTTAATAACAATATGTCAATAACTCAAAAATGTCAGATAAAGCCTTATAATTCTAAGGTGACGACTTGTAATTAAAAGTTTCATATTGGTACCTCAAAGATTATATTATAGCCTACAATGTCAAGAGGTACATTTTTTTACTTCATATTTACTAATATGTACTACTGAGGTAATAAAATGGATCGTTTAGGTACAAATGTTTTTTAAAAGGTACTGCCACAGTGACAGCTCATGTACCTTTATTACTGAGAGTATATGTGCCAGTGTGCATCTCGTGTATCTGTGCATATGAGAGAGAAAGAGAAGTCAATTTCTGTAGTTATTGAAATGTAATATCATTGTAAAAGCACAGAAATACTTTATTACTATTATCCTGTAAAGACATTTGTGGATCCAAATCAGACATGTGTTACTTGAAAATAGCTCCATGTTGAAAAGTTCATCAACCAATCAGAATCAAGTATTCAGCAGACCAGTTAGAATGCCGGAGACTAGTCAATGGCTTCCAAAGTATTTTTTATTCCCTGGCTATGTATTTCAATGGTTACCTATTTCCAACATTCTTCAAAATATCTTCTTTTGAGATAAACAGAACAAACGAAACTCATAAAAGTTTGCAATAACTTGAGTGTTAAGAGTAAATGATGAGTAATTTATCTCTTTAAGCAAACTAATGCAGTGTATTGTTTACATTTTTTTTTTTTAAAGAAAAGGCCAATGCAATGTACAAAAGAATCAAGCCAAAAACCTCAAATAAATAGTCACAAATAAATAGTCATTACCCAGCATGTGTGATAATCAGTTATATATCTTATCTGTGTTCATCAGAATCACAGGCACAAAGCTCTGGATGAAGTTGGCTGTGGTCTTCAGGCTTGGTAGAGCATGAGGAAAAGAGGTGTAGACTGGGATGAGGAGTAAGAGAATGGGCAGGTGATCTGGTGCCCAATAGCGCAGCAGAGGGCAGGGCCGCTCACAGAAAACACATGGACGTCCAGCTAATAAATAAAGGCCAGCAGGCAGATTGACCAGTGGTGCTGCTTGACTCTCACTTCACCTGTTTGCTGCCACTAAAACTGTCTGTCTGCCAAGATGCTGGTCCGTGCACTCCTGCAGACCTCTCTGGTCCTGTGGCTGGTACAGAGCACCATACAGGGAGGTAAGACACACATGTTCTTCTCAAGGACTTGCTGAGAAGGTTTTAGGGTGGATGGGAAAAAAGAAGAGACTTTGTGGATGCTGAAGAGGGGAGAAATAGCAGTAATGTTTTTTTTTCACAGAATCAAATCATTGTAATATGAAAAAAAAATTAAACCAAATGCATAAACCTTGTAATCAGTGTTACAAAGTACGAAGTAATTGAAGTAATTTTCCACTTAAAATGTAAATTACCTTTTAATTTTTAGGTCATTTAATTACAGTTATTTAAAATGTACTTGCCTTAAAAATGCAGCATTTCTGTATAAATCAAGAGAAGCAGAGTAATTGTGTATATAAAGAAAATTATTCTGTTCATCAAGGCGGCATTTATTAAATGTAAAAAAAAAAGTTAAATTGTTGAAGTTAAAAATTAATATATAATTGTAACATTTATTAATTGATATAATAACAGACGAATAAACATGCTTAAGAAACAATAAATTGAGTAGAAAAGTAAATGACAATATATTGTATGTATAAAATATGCTGTCATTATTACTTTGAAACGTCTTTTGTTTTGATTCATATTTTAACATTTCTGAATTGTTAACCTTTTGAAATAAATCTAAAAGGTGGTCACATTTAAAGAATTAAAAAAATGTATTTGTATTTTTTGAGATTTATAAGAAATTTCAGAATTAAGTGTCAGTTATTAAATAATTGTTACTTTCTTAAAGTAATTTAAATACAGTTTTATTTATGTAATAATTATTAATAAATGACTCTCTTGAAGTAACTTCCCAACCCAAAACTGCTTGTAATACTTGTAATGTAGTCTTAAAAGTTTCTTCTTTAAATGATTATAACCAACACTGATTAAAAGTTTTTAAAATTCAGTTGTGCAAAATTATAGATGGTCAGCAAAGTGGCTCAGAAATTCGCTGGTTTGAGTCCAAACTGGGTCAGTTGGCATTTCTGTGCATGTTCTCCCCATGTTTATATGGGTTTCCTCCAGTTGCTTCGGTTTTCCCCACAGTCCAAAGACTTTGGGTGAACTGAATAAACTAAATTGACCTTAGTGTATGAATGTTTCCCATTACTGGGTTGCAGCTGGCAGGGCATCCACTATTTAAAAAATGCTAGATAAGTTGGCGGTTCATTCCACTGTGGTGTCCCCTGATGAATAAAGAGACTAAGCTAAAGGCACATGAATGATTGAAGGAAATTGAAGCAGTTTAAACTAGAAAAGACTACCTGGTTAATTAAACTAGCCCTTAAGGCAGACTCTTAACATTGTGTTTTTGCAATTGACGCCAGATTAACTGAAAACTGGACTTATTATGATGGAAGAAGTATCAGTGTAATAATGCAGAGGTTTGAGGGTATTCCAGGTTGGTTTGACCCATGTACTCAAGCCCTTGAGGGAAGCTCTTGGGTTGAGATTTAATGTGTGGTCTTGGTTGCTTAGAAAATAGCTTTTTTATTTAAACTGGCACTAAAACTAGAGCACTGGGTAGTGTGAATTTATGCATCATCGGGTGCAGACCTTCATTCAGTGCTGTCTGAATGGCTAATAACTTGCTCAAATCTAGCGGTTTGCTCATTTATTTCAAACAATAACTCTACACTTCACTACAATCTTGATATAGCACTTTGTGTTGGTTAAATATAAATGAATCCTGAAAATGTAAGCTTTCTTAGAAAACAAAGCATCTATTTAAAAAAATGTAATGTTTTGTTTGTTTAACTGCATTTCACCAATAACCAAACTTACAGTAGCACATAAATTCTTTAGTTGTTGGGTTCAGTGGGTTTAAGTTTTGTTGTGAAGCCTACTGAGATAACATGAATTATATGATATGTAACTGAGAATTGTAATGAAAGAAATATTCTTCCTATTAGATTTTACATTTATTTAATATTTTGCACCTGTATATTTAAATGCCCTGTTTTATGTTGTCACAGTGCAGAACACTAGAGATCAGTTTACTATTGTTGCATGAGTTGGTTTTCTTTATTTTGTTGCTGAAGTTAATAGAATATTTTAGGCACACCTAGCCTTGATTAGTGTTTATTTGGATTTATTTTTGCTGCTGAACAATGTTTATATACTTTTTATATCACACAAAATTGTATTCTAAATCTTTAAAAGGACACTCAGGTTTAAGTGGGTTTAATCACATGATGGTATACATTTTCAGAAGAACAGTTATTAAAATTACAATATTCTGTAAGTGTTAAGGTCATTTTAATAATTCGAAGCATCTTTTTTCTAGATGGAAATTTTATATGGATGTAAAAGGCTCTTTATGAAATCACAGATGACAATGAAAAAAACCTTTATTTGGGTTATTTTGAATTTTACATGTTTAAAACCAAATTTAGTTTCATTTCTGTGTATATTTATAACTTATAATTGTAACTGTTTATAATTATTTTTTTATAACTTTTACATTTAATAACTTTGACTTTTTTATACCTTTTTTTTATAAAAGTTTTATAACTTTATTGTCAAATTTATAATTTTTTACAATAAATTTTAAATAAGAAATCAGTAAAGCCAAACAGTTAAGATGAGAGATATTTTGGAATAAATAAAAAGCTATTACTTATGATCATATTATTATTAGCCTAACATTAACCTATTTCCTAGAGTAAATCCTGATCAAATATTCTATACAACAACTTGCAAATTTACTTTACTTTCGAACTTAAAAAAAAAAAAAAAATACAGTCACGCCTAAAATTATTCATATGCCAGTTGTATTAATAGGTTTGTTTTTTACTTGTATATTTATAAAAAATAAAACCTTAAACGTTATTAAACCGGTCTTTGTTATTCATTGTTATGTTCACCAAGACAGCTGGTTCTTGTGAAAATGCAACACTGAGGTGTGATGAGAGTTTGTGGTAAAGCAAAGCAAAGCACTAAAGTGTGCCATTTTCTTTCTCAAGTTTGTGCCAAGAAGGACGAATCAATACGTTGAGAAAAGTAACAGTGCGGCAGACAGAAATTAATCATAGTTTCCTGTGTTGTACAAATCACTCACAGTATAGACATCAAAAGTCTCCTTGGTGCTCCATGGTAAAGATTTAATTTAGCTTAGCACTGTCTGTATGATGGGATTGCGTCATTAAATGTTCAGCCAACAGTGATTGAAGTACGTCTAGAGAATTACGCAACAAGATGCACATAACGACTCTACGTTAAATACCTGACAGCTCCGCTAAATGGAGAATAAACACCTCTGGAAGTGAGTCATGTCTGAGTTTGCCTGGATCTGCTCCAGCCTCTGTAACCCACAGCTTTAACACTCCTATTTCATGTCTGAAGATCAAAACCTGTGGCCCAAAGGTGACAGGAGAGCTCAAAATCTGTCAGCTTTCTGTCAGTGCTGATTTCATTCAAACGCTATACAGTCTGTCCGTCCAGAATCAATGCAGGCCTGTTCCAAGAGTGCGGAGACGGCGGTTAGTTTGACGAAATCCACACTACTAAACTTTTATTACATCAGCTCAGCTGTTTAGCTTCTCTTTATAGGAGGATTTCTTAGAATTCATTCATGAGGAGTCTCGAAGAAAAAATAAATCGAGCAGAATTAGATTCAACCATTGGGAAGTGATGGTTTATTACAGTATTTTGTTTTTGTTTGTCAGTTTTCATGCATGACAGCTGATATTAAAATAAAATAACAGTAATTTATCAGATGATTTTACATTAGCCAAAATATGAATTAAATCTTTTTTTTTTTTTTACTGCATTGTATAAGCATAATGAAGCTAAATTATAGAGCACTTAGGTTAATGTGCTTTCACCAAGTAGGACATGTTCCTGGATTCTGGAACATCTTTGTTGATCCTGGAACAACTATCCAGTCACATTTAAGGGATACAGTTAAACACATCATTGTTATCTGACTATTAATCCCCTCTGATTATGGGAATGATTTACAGTTATGGTTAGGGGTAGGGATTAGGCACAGCTCTGAACAGGAAAGATGTTCCAGAATCACCATGTTAATCATGACACTTGCGATTAATTTTATTATTATTTTTTTTTTAATTTGTTCAGTGGAATACAAGCAGCTACTGCATCCATATTTGGAAAATACTTCCTGACAGTTTTGTAAATGTATGTTCTATGATGTGAAAGTGTAGTATATGAAATGTGTACAATGTGTAGCTGGCAGCTAGCTCTCTGCAACTCTCACATGGTCGCCCACTGAAGCTAAGCAGAGCTGCGCCTGGTCAGTATCTGCATGGGAGACCACATGGGAAAGCTAGGTTGTTGCCGGAAGTGGTGTTAGTGAGGCCAGCAGGGGCGCCCCACCTGCGGTCAGTGTGGGTCCTAATGCCCCAGTATAGTGATGAGGACTCTATACTGCTCAGTTAGCGCTGTCTTTCGGATAAGACCGAGGTTCCGACTCTCTGTAGTCGTTAAAAATCCCAGGATGTCCTTCGAAAAGAGTAGGGGTTTAACCCTGGCATCCTGGCCAATTCTGCCCACTGGCCTCTGTCCATTATGGCCTCCTAACCCTCCCCATATCATAATTGGCTTCATCACTCTGTCTCCTCTCCACCAATCAGCTGGTGTACGGTCTGGCACAAAAATGGCTGCCGTCGCGTCATGCAAGTGGATGCTGTGCACTGGTGGTGGATGAGGAGATTCCCCCATATGTGTAAAGCGCTTTGAGTGCCCAAAAAGCGCTATATAAATGTAAGGAATTATTATTATTAGTATTACAATGTATATACCATCTTTTAACTGTCATGTGACCTGTAGCCTTATATCCTCAAAAGTGAAGTCAAACTTTTTGAACTCCCCTGCTAGCTGACTGCACTGTAGGTCATAAACTCTTTTCTCTCCATGTACCACTGAGACATAAGTCAAACTAAAAGATTAAATGACAAATTTTCAAATCAGTTTTTTGAAAATGTGTCTTGAGAGGTTTACATTCAGTTAGTTGATGATGTAAAATGTAATGTGTTTTAGTCATTTGACATTTTCACATTGGCCATTTGCGTGTGTCATTGGTGCAAGATGACGGCTATACGTGTGATGTTTTTACTCCACTTTTCTGCAGTGGATGGAAAGTGGAAACTTTTTTGAATGTGGTGCAAACATAAATTTACAGGGTACAAACTGTAAAGTTTTACCCTTGTCCAGTGGCTGCAATGTTTCTCCCAATTTCAATTATACTCATATAGTATTTATTTAGCGTTTAAAACAACCATGGTTGTTTAAAGTGCTTCACGGTGTCAAGATGACACAGACAAACAAAACCCAACCACCTTAGAAAATAGGCACAGTATCCAAACTCAAATTAAAATGAAGCCAATGAATACTGGTGCGTCTTAAGCAATGATTTGCAGATTCCAACAGTGCGACATGTTACATTAATTTGGAGCAGCTACTGTAAACCTTTATATTGTAACCTAGAGCTCAGAACGTCAAGCAGGACCTGATTGGAAAACCTTAGTGCTTTGACAGCAGTGTGAACATGTCAAATCTTTGTTAACTAAGGAGATGCCAACCTATTTAAAAATCTTATAAAACAGTTAGAAAAATCTTTAAATCAGTCCTAAAGTGAGCAGGAAGCATGTGTTGTGAGGTTAGAACTGGGTCTAACGTACTTTTAAACATATGGAGGCATAAAATGTCATTCTATTTAAAATAGTGTCCATTTTTAAGCCACTCACACAAGTGCTAGTAAACATGTAAGTGTGTTTTTTTTTTTTTTTTGATTGTCTTGACTGTCTGTGACACAACAGCGTGGTTCAGTGCTGAGACCTTGTGGACAAACTAAGTAGTGTTACATTACATACGTTATGGATGAGATTAGGTCTGCATGCCTGCAGTGCTTGTAATGTGTTATGATAAAAAAATAAGCATGTGAAAAGTATGCTTATAAGCTATTATTCCTTACGTTTTTCTTTTATGCTGAATGAACTCATACATGTTTGTTTGCCTTGTTTTAAAGGAGTTAGGCCACAGACTGGAGCTCTTGGAAGATTGGCAAGTCGAGGTATATTCTACTTATTAATATTTTGTATCTGGAGTGTATTTCTGAAATATTAATGACAGTTAGCCCTCATAACAATCATATATTTCATCACCAGTTCTGCTTTTATGTTTTTTCAATAGGGCCTGGCATTGGTGCAAAAACTGGAGGTAAGTGTGATGGATGTTGTGGAATGCAGTTCACTTTTGTTAGCCTGTGCAAGAATTATTGTACATCCTCTTTCATTTCTGTGCTGTCCTGTGATCAGTGGCTGGAATTCTCGGAGCTCGTGGCTATGGAGCAGGCAAGGCAGGGAAAACAAGCGGTAAGCATCAACTGATAAATAAAGGTTCACAATTAAACGTTAATTAAACCAGAGCTGTGGCGAAAAATAGTCAGCGATGTCATCTTTGCATTAATTCCAAGATTTTCAAAATGCATTGCTATTCTGTCTTGAACCGATTTTGGGTTTAGATTTTAACAGCAGATGGCGCTGTAAGCTTTGCAAACAGCTGAAATCTGCTTGCATTCAATGTCTTACACATACCACTTAAACCAAAATTAGTCATTAATAAATTTAAGTTTAAGTAAATTACAAATATGTTCAAGGTGACCTGCGTTTACATTAATCTCATGAATAAAATCTAATTTATGTGGTTGATCTGAATCAAGAGAACATCAATGCATTTTGAAAATCTTGGTATCCATCTCTCAAATGATTTTTCACCACAGCTCTAAATTAAACCTCAAAATAATTGAACATTCTGTGAATTATCTAATTATTTTTTCTTCTTTCAAACAGCGGGCCGTTACATTGGAGGTGAATTTATCTGCTTTTAAATGTTAAACTATATTTTGTATCTACTACCATTCAAAAGTTTGGGGTCTATACAGTTTTTTATACATTTTTCTCGCTCACCAGGACAGCAAAAAACAGTTGCAATATTATGGGAAATTACATTAGATTGATATTAATACATGCTGTTTTTATTTAGTACATTTAACACTTTATCGAGTGAAGAACCATATTGTAACTTCACTAACATTGATTTCAATATAATTTTTTTCATTGGGTAGTTCAGTGAGTGCCCTATAGACTATTTCAATGTGGTGATGTCACTGAATTAACATTTTCTGCTTGTTGTCAAACTATTTCATAACTACAACAAGAGGCAATTTAATCATAACAAAACATTAAACGACTATCATAACATTGTTTATCCATATGCAAACTCTTTAGATTCCTGGGAGCTATGGAAATTAAAATGTAAACATACAGTACGTTAGGACCTTTGTTATTGTTTACATCCCTCACAATGGTCTTTAAAGAGTTACAGTGATGTTGTTGTTGTTTAAAAGGGTGACTTCAGCAGTTATTTTCCAGGAAGGCCTTTAGTATTTTGCTATTTTATGGGCTTTTCAAGGAGGCAAATTTTCTTTGTATATAACTTATTTTATAGTATAAATATTTAGATAATCTAAAATAAGATATATTTACGTGTAGTAAAATGAGTTAATGTATTGATTTGAAAAACATCTCAAGTGAAGTACCTGTTTTAAGTCTCAAAATGCCTAAAAATTTGAGCATTTCATGTGACTACCCACCAATATTAAAATATATCAAAGCATGTAAATATTTTTTACATCTATACATATTTATTTTTATTTTAAAAATCCAATTTGTAATAGGGAAATGTATATTATAAATGTATTTTAAAAATATTTTGGAAAATGTTTTTTTATACACTTTTTATAGTTCTGACCCTTTTATTTATGTTTTATTAATGTTTTATAGCATTTTTGTATAATATTACTCATTATTTTGCAGTTATATTTGTTTTTATCAGGCATATTAATGTGGGATAATTCATTTATCTTTATACAATAAGATTTTTAAAAATATTTTTGTTTATTACAATATGCAACAATTAGTTAAATGTATTTTAAATATTTTACTCTTTTACTTCAATCATTACCATCATCTCACTTTACTTTAGCTCAGAAACTCCCTGATTTAAGATGTAATTATTTGATAATGTTGTTATGTATATTATATTATATTATATTATAATATATTATATTATATTATATTATATTATATTATATTATACTAAAAATGTCAGCAATTCTTACTGAAAACACAAATCTGCAACACAAAAATGTAAAATAACTCAGATATGTTCAGTGTAATGACTTTATTCAGGAAGCATATAGATAAAACATACAAATTTAACAAAAGTAAATATTAAAATTACAATCTTGCAAAAAGCGGCTATTTTTTTAAACAAAGGAAAGGGGGTTCGTTGTAAGTAGTTGTCTGCAGTACCTCAAATTGCCACAAGGAGAGCGTACTCCTGCAGGAGAAGCTCCTCAACTCCTCAACGGCTTCAGCAGTTATTACTCCAATATTCAGCGTTACACGATCCTTCATCAATCAATTTTATATGCAGATTTGGATCTCAAGAAACATATTAAATACCAACACTGAAAACAGTTGTGTTGCATAGGCTTTTTGTTGAAACTGATACGTTTTTCATGATTATTTTCTTTTGGAAATGTCTTCACTGACAATAATCTGCCCAAACTTTTAAACAGTGGTGTGAACGATATGTGCATGTGTCTGCGTGCATTAGCATGTATTCCTTAATGCTGTTTCATGAGTATGTTATCTGTCAGGAGCAGCATACAGACCCACTGCCGTCAGAGGAGGCCTGAAACAAGGATATGGGACGCTGGGTTACGGAGGGGGTACACCTGTCCTTCATAAATAACCATAATGGTCAATCATTTTTCATATCTGATGGTTCCATTATTCTTGTATTCAACACCGTGTTCTCCTGCTATTTTGGTCCCCAGCTGCAAACCTTGGTGCTGGCCTTGGCGCTGGTCTTGGGACAGGACTTGGGACTGGTCTTGGGCCAGCTGGACTTGGACTGGGAGCAGCGTATGGTTTAGGCAATGGGCTGGGAGCAGCTCTGGGTTATCCCGGAGGAAAACTTGGAGCTAGAGGTGAGAGCTGCTCACTTACTTTGCATTCAGTATGAATAACGAGTAGATGTATTCACTGTTTGATTGTCACCTTTTCTAGGTTACACTGGTAATGGCTATGGAGCTCAGCTAGGTGAGTGCCCATTATAGCCACACAGAAATCATTACACTTTATATGACACAATGCAACGTCTGTCCTCACTGAAGGTTGTGTAGCAGATTGAATCTGATCTAACCAATCAAAATTTGACCTTGTGCTGTGATTAAAATCTTTCACATGTAGTGATATACGCTGCCCATTGGCCATGATTAGGTGTCATATTTTTGATGAAGCGGTGTGGGATTGACTATGAGAGCCGTTTATTTCTTCATCCCTGTAGCCTTGACATCTCTCTTGTGTTGTTGGCAGGTTATGGTGCTGGTGGATACCCTGGCGTTGGACGCGGTATGTAACCTGTCTCCGCTCAAGCTTTAACTAGTGTGTGTGTGTGTGTGTGTGTGTGTGTGTGTGTGTGTGTGTGTGTGTGTGTGTGTGTGTGTGTGTGTGTGTGTGTGTGTGTGTGTGTGTGTGTGTGTGTGAGTGTGTGTGTGTTTGTATGTGTGTAAATGTAAGTGTTCTGTCATTTATTCAGGTTGCTGTAGCAGCTGTAACTGACCATCTACATCTATATATACTTTATTTCAGAAAGTGGTTAAAGCATTTTATTGTCATAATATTTTTTTATTTATTTCAGATTTCCAGTGTGATGATGCTTTAGAGATACAGTACTTTATATAGCGGTGACGTTTAGACGCACTTAGATGACACATGAGGACACATGACCACTATCATCTACCACTACCATCTACCCATCCTTAAATTCAAATACAACAGCCCACAAGATAGCAGTCTTAAGTAAATTAGTGTGCCAGGCTACTTCTGAGGTTAGATACACAGTACTGATAGGAAGTTCAGATCTTTAACGCGAACCGGATCTTTTGTGACCATCCTCCCATGTTAGGACTCAACATACCAAAATGATGTAGTCAGCAATCATAATTTCAGTCAGTTAAAATTATGATCTGAAAAGTTTCTTACAATTTGGTTTTGCAAGCCAACTGAAGCATGATTCACTTATTTAAATTCCATTTTAACTTTCTTTTATGAAACATTTAATTTCATTTAAGTCCTCGGTTTACCCACACCACATTTATGCCCTTGGTTTAGTTGAGTCACAGCAGGCCGTCATTTACTGTTTGTGTTTGGTTAACTGAATCACACATGCGCAGTATTATCGGTTTACCGCTTCTCAAATCTGATCTCAGTGTACTGTTCTAATAACTTAATAACTCAGTATATATTGGTTTATTTCGAATCAGAGGGGGAGCATGTTAAAAAGTAAATCGTTTGTGGATAAGAGTGCTTACTGGCAAATTGTTTCAAAAGATTCAGATCGATTTGGTGAACTAGTTTATTCTAGTTATTAGGTCCACTCGGAAGAAAAATTTGATCGCGGTCACTAATACAGAAATAAAACACATTATTGGGAACACATGTGTTAAATTAATAATTTTAAGTTTCTGTATTTAATGCTCTCTCCGTGCTGCTGTCATGTCCACTTCCACTTTCTCGCGGGAGCAAAAGCGAGGTTGACTGGAGGGGGACCGGCTTGATCTTGCCAATAGCATCAGGATTACAGACTCTGAAGTGCCGTACAGGTCAAACACCGGGCAGCACGAAGTGAATAGGTTTATTTTTAAAAAGTTTAATGTACAGTGTATATTAAATACATTTACAAAGACGAAGTTGGTTTCAGTTAGATTTGAATGTACACAATACAGTTTCAGTTAGTTCTAGTTTTTTTAAAGCTCATTTTTATTTTTCAGTTAACAATTATTTTACATTTTAGTTTTAATTTTTTCGTTCGTTTTCAGTAACTAATAACCTCGATACAAAGGCATCAATATTTTTTACACATAAACATCTATATATTTCTTTTTATTTTTTGAAAATCTCATTTGTAATAGGGAAATGTATAATATAAATGTATTCGACATTATTTTGTAAAATATTTAGTTTCAAATACACTTTATAGTTCTGACCCTTTTTTTATGTTCTAATAATTGCTTTTTTGTATAATATTGTTCATTATTTTACACTTGAATTTGTTTTTTATACGTATTAATGTGGGATTATTTATTTTAATACAATAGGAATTAATTTATTCATGTTTTTGTTAATTGTTAAATCTTGCAACAATTAGTTAAATTTATTTTTAGATATTATTTACTCCAAACATTTCCAAAAATTCACTGTGCTTCTGGTCTGAAACACTGACTTAAGATGGAATAATTGGAGAATATTATTATATTATATTATATTATATTATATTATATTATATTATATTATATTATATTATATTATATTATATAAAAAATGTCAGATTCTCACTGACTACATAAATCTGCAACACAAAAATGTAAATAGCTCTGATATGTTCAGTGTAATGACTTTATTCATCAAGCATATAGATAAAACATACACATTTAACGTAAATAAATATTAAAATTACTAGCTGCTAGCTTTTTTTATTAGTTGTTGTCTGCAGTACCTCAATTTGCCACTGATTGGCGCTACAGGAGGGCGCACGCACCCCTGCAGTGCAGCCAGGAAAAGCTCCTAAACCCTGTAAAATCTACTCAATCAGAACTGTTTGTTCATCAAATAGTATCTGGGCTCAATAGTTGTTTTTAGAAACACACTTTTCATCCCGTTTTTTCATGTTCATGTGCAGCCTCTTAAATCCATTTGGAAACAGTGTCAGCGGTCACGTGATTTATTGTTGTGGAAATGTTAGCGACTTCTATGAGTAAATGGTGCTTTCACTTTCATATTTGTGGACGTGGACGCTAGTTTTTACATATACACATATTTATCATGGGTGCAGTCAGTCTGGAAGTGATATGTGTGCTCTCTTAGGTTAAATGTTTACTTTAAGCAGACATTATGACTTGAAGTACTGCTGGATAAATTGAGTCTTGGTGTGCTGTTGAGTTTGAAGTAAAAAAAGTTTATGTTTGCTTAACATCTGCAATTGGCTTTCTGGGTCACAATACTAGATTTTCAAGATATGGCTTAGGAGAGGCAGGTGTTTCTTCTGTTAATTATTTGCTGTTGTTGGGATTATTAAAGTGCAGTGATGTGCTTGTGTTCACAGAATATGTGTGAAAGGCTCTTCCTCTTCCCGATTTAAAAGCTGTGAATCTGACATTAACTAACCGATTTTGTGGTCTTCAGGATATGGTGTACCAGCTGGCACATTCACAGGGCAAAGCTCAAAACCAGCAAAACTGGGTAAACCCTGCAATATTCAGTTGCTAACTTATTCTTCCTTCATTTCATTACGATAAAATCTCATTCACAGAAAAGAAGCATTCACATTCACTGATAAATGCATGACTTCACTGATTTTGTGAGAGTAATAATGACAAATTTTAATTGAAACCAGATTAAAATAATATACACATAATAATAAAAAAGACTCTTTAGTGATTGTCTTGTTGTTTAGTGCAAATATCTAAACAATAATCATTTCATATGAAATTAATAGAGATTTTGTACTTAATATGCAAAAGAAAAAGAAAAGAAAACTGAACTTTCAAGGAAAACAAGTGTATTACTTGATTGGCTTATTCCTTTAAAGTGTAAAGTCAGTTCATTTTATTCACTTTTTCAGAAAACCAATAATCTGACTGTTAGTTGGCATCTAGTTATAGATCAGGGGTGCCCAAACTTTTTCATATGAAGGGCCAAAAGCCAAATTTGATTGAGGGGGTAGGCTGAAGGTAAATATAGCAAACTATTACATTAAAGCTGACAATATCCTAATTTATTATTATTAAGAAATAAATAGAAAAACTTACTTCAATCATATTAATAATTATAAATTTTTTACATTTTGTAATGAACTTTACATTATAACAACACAAGTAAACGTACACATTTAGAACACAATGGTGTTCAATGCTAAGTACACGAGTCAAGCCTTGATTTGCTCGTTGTTGTCTTGTGTATTGTCCTCTATCTTTGAGTGACAGTATTTACATTTTAAAAAAATCTGATTCATGCACTACATTTGATTGAAACATTTCAATTCAGTTGACTTTTGTAGCTTAAAATTAAACAAACAAACAAGCGAAAGGTTACGTTAAATTAGAAATGATGATCTCTGTTAAAAAGCATTTGCTGTAACCTTTATTCTAAATCTCTGCTCAGAAAGGAATGGTGGGCCAAATCAAAGCTTACCATGAGCCAACTTTTGGCCACAGGCCCTACTTTGGGCATCTCTGATAGTAAAAAATGGTCTAAAGGTGACATTCAAAATACGTATTAATACAGTTAAAGAAATACTTAAATAGTGGTTCAAGTTTTTACAGTGCACCTAAAAAACAATGTGAAATGTAAATGTGCAATGCTAATTTTGCTAGCACACATTGTTATTCTTTAGGTGAAAATTAATCTGTTTTTCCACTGAAAAAAATTGTTTTGGTTACCTTCAATTAAAGTCTGACCATTTGCTTTTGTATTTGGATTGGCTGTCTTACTCTGTTGACGTCAGTTTGACATCTTCATCCACATATTCTTAACCACGCCCCTCTTACCATTAGTTTACTACAAGGTAATGATCCGCAAAAGAAAAGCTCTGCCCCTACTCAATATTTTGTTTCAGTAGGCTCTATGCACAGCTAGCGTTTCTTCCCATACTCATATGCTTCTAGTGAACGGTTAATGTGACTTTTTTCAATTTTAAACAGTTTCTTTTACAGCCCTGATGTTGTAATGTAATTAAGATACAATCAGTTAAATAGGTTTCAGCATTCAATTAGTTGTTCAAGTGTGAAACAAGATGAAAAGCCGGTTACACACACACTCCCGTCAGGATTGGCAGGCTAGCACAGAAACTCTATTGAATAAACTGGTGTAAAATAAATGTTCATATTTTAAAGACAGCATGGAAAAATGTAATTAAATGCGTCCTTCTTGTACAATTTGAGACCCACTTTCTATTTTATATCAATCAGGCAGGAGAGATGGTTGATTCTTAAAGAAATCAAACCTTAAACACGCTAATTTTGTAACGCCACACAGTTTACCAAAAGCGCTTGACCCAGGTTACTAATAAATAAAGGTCCTTTTTCTGCATACAGTATACCCTGTTGTAAGTACATCAACATACTGAAATCAAAGTCTCAGCAACTTCTGTTTCACACAGACTTTAACACACAGATGCTCATTGCTCATCATTAAAAAAAATTATAGGTCACAAATGTGAATAATTCCATAAAATCAGTGATTTGTCAGTTGTACAATAGATTTGGTTTTTAAAAGTGTTGATCTTGAAGTGAAAATCTTTACTTTAAAGATTTAAAGTCCGTTAGCATAAGTGGAACAATTTTGACCATCTTATTTTTCAACTTTCCTACAAATGTGCAAAACTACCTCTTCATTTTCCCTTGTTGGTAAATTATTGTCTATTGTTGTGTGCTTGCCTTCGAGGTTCTGTTGCGCTATTCCTTGGTATGTAAGCTAAAAAATATTAGAGTTATCAGTTTGTTGTTGTATGTTAGAGCTGCACAATATTAGAAAAATTTGACATTGCAATGATTTTTTTTTCTCTGTGTTATATTTTGCGATTAAAAAATACAATTTCACTATTTGCAAAGTCATTACCCTAGAGAAAATATATATAATAAACAAATTATAGTCATAAATAAACCAAGTGGAGCAAATATTAAAGTGAAATGAACCACGCCTTATGGTTTTCTGTAGAGAAAAAACAGAAATTGTCCTTAAATTCATAAAATGAATCTTTTATGCACTCCTAAAATACTTTAAAGTCTCTTAAAATGCTAACATAGTCACAGTACTTAAAAACACATGCAGATGATAAACTTTTACTCTATTTTGGTTCAATTCTGCAGTGTCTACACAAATCTTGTGTGTTTTGACTTGTGGTTTCTGGTTAAATATAATCCCAACTCATCATTGCATATCTTGTGATGTGACTATTGCAGATACACACACTGTGATATCGATGCTCAAACCACTATCATAAGCATATGTGTTTGAAAAACCTGAATGCATGCTGCTGCAAGACTCTGTCATGATCATGTTAACAATCTAATACATGTAATATGCTATTACGTTGCTTTCCCCGTTTTTCTCACCATTCAAATCATTGCTTCCAGCTGATGTGTCTGTATTCACAGGTGTTGGGCCTAGAGGTGACCAGCCCATGTCACAGGGACAGGCAGGTGATGGTAAACCTCACATCCTCCATGTGTGGCTTTCATGCTTTCTTTTTTTAATTTTCTAAATTTGTATTTGACAGCATTTAAAGTCTGTGTGAAACCAAAAATTACTATATTCATTTTGCCGGCAAACATTGTTATTCTTTTGGTGAACTATTAATTCAGACAAATTAATCCACTGAAAATTTTTTTTTTTTTTTGGTAATTTTCAATCAAAATCTGACCCTTTGCTTCTGCGTTTGGAGGCACAATATTTTTAACCATGCCCCTCTTACCATTAGTTTGCTATGAAGGAATGATAAGCAAAAACAAAGTCTTGCCCCCTACTAAATATTCAGTCTGTTTCACACAGACTTTAAACTATTTGCATTGCATGAAGCACCTAATGTCACACAAAACCATGCAATTACATGAAAAGAAGAACAAATGGCTTCTTTGGTGGCATATTAATCTCTGTTACCTCATTATTCATGACTTTACAGATTTTTTTGAGTTCCATCTTTCAGTGAGCATCACCTCTTATGCTCTTGTGTCATTGGCAGACGCTGCTGTTAGTGTCTTTCTTAACTGGTGTTGTGATGTTTAGGTTATGGTCCTGGAAGGTTCACTAATGGTCAGAGTCCTATTGGCAATGGTAAACTTTATCCTAATGTATATGACTGTAGAGTCTATTTTAAATGACGTTTGTTGTCTTTGGTCAAGTGTATAGTTATAGTCATGTGGTTTCTAATGGCACAGGCCAAGACTAATTTTAGTTAGTTTTAAGTAATAGACATTGTTGTCTGCGTGGCTGGTGCATAGTAACTGTAGCTGCGGTTCATAGGTTTCCCACCAGGACCAGGATTGACCAATGGAATGAAAGCTCAAACTAAGGGTAAACAAACTCTCCAGCTTCACAGTCCAGAGTCGGAATTGTTGAAAATGTTTAATATGCAGCAGTTTCAAATTATTTATTCTGTTCTTATGCACACTAACATTCAAATGTAATTTATAATATTACTGTCTGTGATGTTCAAACTCATAATATTAATATTTTTACAGAAGCAATCATATATATCATAAATGGATTGTATGATAAGTTCAAAATAATACATTTCTTTTGTATACAAATGTATCTCCAGCCACTTTTGATCCACTTAATCAGCCCAGGCTCTTTGGAAATGTGTGCCTACCTTTTTGCGAAACCTAAAATGTGTTGCTTCAGGTACATTTTTTTGCCTGTTTCAGATTACAAATCCGCTAGAGGGCGCTTAGGATATTTTTACAAATCTAAAATATGTTACTTAAAGTGCATTTTGTGTACATTTCGGATAGATGTTCTTCTTGCACACATCCTTGAGAAGGCAGACATTATCATGCAGTTCACCTAAACCACTGATCTAAAACCTTCCCTAAACCCAACCAATAGTGTTTTTAAAAGCAAAAGTAGGAGATAGGTGTGCCACATAGTTTTACCTTAATTTTACATGGCTTTTATCCCTTTTGTGTATTCGTGCTTCAACAGACTCAAACCGGGGGATTTTAGGTACAACACCGTACAATGTAAGCTACAGAGCAAACTGACCATACCAGAAAAGTTGTCATATGGAGATAGACAGGTGAGGCAAATGTATTCAATCAAAAAAATCACAATAAAGTTGTATATAGTTGGTATGGTACAAAGAACTGCATGAAAATAATTCTTAATTCATCAATAATATTTCTCTGTAAATATCAGTAGTGAGACAAGAAACAAAAGTTGTTGGCATCATATTGCAGAACAGCGTTTATTTGATCTTTCACAAAAATATAGGCTGAAGTATGCATTTCCAATGAGCCTCTGTTGCAGCTAATAGTTCATTGCTAATTAATAGTGTATAAAATAAATGGTTTCTCTAAAAAAAACAATAAAAAAAAACTACTTGTTAACCCAAAACGTTGGAGTGAAAGCATGAATGTCTAAGTTTAGAATACAAACTCCAGCACTTTATGTAGGTCACTGCTGTTGTGTCTGTTTTGGAGCACCTGTAGTTAATCTTAATGTTTACTATGTGCATTGGTGAGTGTAAGTGAAAGTCTATGCATGCTAAAATACACATAGAATAGGTTATGGGAACTATTATGGCCTCTCAATGTTCATATAAACCACTGTTGTGATACAAAACAGGAGCTGTCTTGCCCAGCAGACAGGGCACCAAACCATCCAATACGGGTAAAAACGTCTTCTGTATGAAGCTGTCATTGGTTTTGCATGTCACGAGGTGGTGTTTTCCCCAGTCTGAAATCAATATAGTTCTCCAAACAGCATCAAATGAAACTATCATGTGGCACATTCGACTGTTAGTGATTGTGGACTGGAAAAATCCACCCCTCATCATGGACTTGCTGCAGCTGCAGGTCTATGAATAAATGCTGTTCTCTAGCACAGCTGTTCAGATGGGTTTCTGTGTGTGTTTGTACTGGACTAATGCCTCATCTGTTTCTTGAGGCTGTTCTCTTTTCTTTTTGTGTGCTCCACCTGAGCCTTTGTCTTTGTTTCTGTCTAGCTATGTGCTCAATGCATGCTGCATTGTTTTTCTCCTACAGGCCACATGTATGGAGCAGTCACACACTGTCTTGCATGATCACTTTGACCCACAGGCCACTGAACAGTCATATTGTTCTGTGATGACTGTTCATTTTGTTACCCAAAGGAGAGGAAAGAAATGCTATAGTGGCCATAGTTTAACAGTTAGCATGCTTTGTTCACAGGGTATGGGCTTGGTGCTGCCGGATATCTTGGAACTGGGTATACTGATGGTTATGGAGCAGGTATATTAAAATGATTCAATAATGTTTATTTCCCAAATGCATGTAATTATTATGATAAATGCATGCTATAGTGTAGAATATTCAGATACTCTTTTTTAATTTTTTTTTGTTTTTGCTGATGCAGGTCTCGGGGCCGGCTTATATCCACAAGGAGTTCGAGCAGGAAAGCAGATCGGTAAGTAATGTTTTTTTTTTGTAATCGTTTTAGGAGGCTGAGGCCTACAAGGGTTTGAGTTGATCGTCTAATTACATATATGCTGGTTTTCTCTAACAAGTGTTTTTGTTCAGCAATTTAAGGAAGTCTGTCAAATGTTTTTGGAAAGAAATTAAGTTTTATTTGTTGAGGATGGACTTAATTCATTAAACGTGACAGCAAACAAATTTGTGATGATGTTATAAAAGGTTTTTATTTTTCAAGTAAATGTAGTTACACTGTAAAAATGTTGCACACAATTCCATCATGTTGTCCCAACATAAATTATGAGTTAATTAATTAATTAATTAATTTATTTATTTATTTTTTACAAATTTAGGTAGATAAAACATAAAACAATTTAATTTCCCCTAAAAGAAATCAAGGATTTTGTTGGTTGAGCTTATTTTAAATAAGTAGTTTAAACAAGCAGCAAAAAAACTTTGTACTTTGAAATTTCATCAAACAATCCTAAAAAGTTTATTACTATTGGTATTTTCTTACTAGATTTATTGTTTGGTTTCCAAAAATTAATAGAAATAATAAGTTAAATTAAATCATATTAGATTGATTTCTGACGAAAACTGAATAGTAAAGATGCAAAAAGTTTAGGTTTACCATAAGATGAACAAATTAAAAGTATTTTTTAAAATTGACCTATTTTAAATCTTGAAAGTTAAACAAAACCAAAATACTGAAAAAACTTTAAAGTTGTCTAACTAAAGTTCTTAGCAATTCATGTTACAAATCATAAAATGAGTTGTAATGTATTTACACCAGGACATTTACACAATGTCTTCATGGAACATGATCTTTTATTAATTTTCTAATGATTTTTCACATAAAAGTAAAATATTCGGATGCACTATATATCGATAGCCATATTGATATCAGCTGATAAATGCTATTTTTAATGTTATCAATATCGGTCTGATAAATTAGCTAGATTTATTAAGTTTCTAAAATGATGTGTTATTTTCGATGTTTGAAGCTGCCTTTTTATTGTTTTACTGATTTTGGTTAATCTTCAGTGACTTTCTTCATGGGTGCAAATTTTTTTGTCAGAAAAAAATGTGATTTTATTTAAAGGGGTGATCAACTATGATATCATATGTTATACTTTAGTTCCTGTGTAATGTAGCTGTGTGAACATAAACAACATCTCTAAATGTACTACTATATATATATATATATATATATATATATATATATATATATATATATATATATCCGGGTTAATAATGTCATAAATACTTCAGGTTATGAGCATACACCCCAAGCATGGAAGAGGCGTGGCCAGATAGGCTGTAATGGTATAGCAGAGATGCTTCCTGGTGACATGGAGCAGATCTGTGAATTACAGCACATGCTAGCTGACCAATCAGAGCCTCTTGAGGGCGGGCTTTCAGAGGAACTAGGAAATATGACAGTCGTTTTCATGTAAGCTGAGCAGCAGTATATTATTAAAGTGAGATATATATAAAAAAAAAAATAATAATGTGATTTTGCACACTTTGTTTTGCATCTTATAAACACAATTTAACCTTAAAAATACACTCTGGACCACCCCTTTAAATAAAAGAGCGTTAACTAAAGAAAAGAGTATTTGATAAATAAAAGTTAAGGAATCAGATTTTGTTTTCTGAAGTTAAGGTTTTAAAATAAAATCAGATGTTTACTGTATGCGTTTACCTTTAGGGTTTTTTATTTATTTTTTGCAGTCATGCAGAAAAATTTTAAACATTTATATTTATGTGCTAATATATCGGCTATAAATAGAATGAGTTATCCATATCTGTAAAAAAAAAAAAAAAATCATATTGTTGCATCCCTAGAAAAATGCATAGTTTTGACCCATACAATGTGATTAATATATTAAATATATTTCTGCAACATGATGCTGGTGTTGTAGTCCAGGGTCAAAAATTGTAGTTTCTAATTTTATGATAATAAAAAAAATTTTCAAGCAAATAATTCAGCATCGTATTTTCCAGTCACACTTTATTTTGATGGTCCGTTTGTTGAATTTAAGTTACATTGCGTCTACGTGCTAACGTGCCAACTAATTCTCATTAGATTATAAGTAGACTGTTAGGTTGGGGTTAGGGTTGAGGTTGGGGTTATTGTAAGTTGACATGTGCTTGCAAAGTTTGTTATAGTCAGTTAAATGTCTGTTGAAGGAGCAGTATCAACAGATATTAAGCAGACAGTCTACTAACACTCAAGTGGACCCTCAAAATAAAGTGTTACATATTTTTCTATTTCTATTTTTCTAGCTGTTGAATAAACAACACATCACAATTTATTTGGTATTATGTAATGTATTAATTAAACTATCATGTAATGTATTACTATGTTTTTACAGTGACCTTCCATTTGTTGCAGCTTGTAGGTGTGACATTTGTGTTGATACAGAAAATGAGTTTCAGAAACACACCCTAAAAATGATTCACTGTGACAAATACACTGTGCCTTTTCTCCTTATGTAGATAATTAAAACAATATCCAAGTGTTTCGTCAGATAATCAGCTCTTGCCTCTTTTATTTGTGAAGTGAAACCTTTTGTAATATCACAATATTAGTGCAGCGTAATGGATTAAGCACAGAGTGTGGTCAGCACAAATCAAGAGCCCCTCCAGCAGCAATGTGATCCTCTAAGACCTCTGCTTGCTCAAAGATGTGCGTGCTTACTAGTGCAAGAAACACCCAAAATTCACACATATGCTTATTTTTTCCCCCGAATCAGCTTGGTTGCAACCTTGGTGGGCAACCTTGAGTGTGAAAACAATGAGGTGCTTCCTGTGTCACTTTAATGCATCACCATTGTTTTCCATTGCTCAGTGTTGACTTGTGGTCTTCTCAGCAGGCTACAGTAATGGATACGGCAGTGAGGTTTATGGCACAGCAGACGCTTATGGAGCAGGTGAGTCAGAGTGGATTGTTCTAAAGAAGCATGTCCTTATGCCACACTAACACACAGGCATAATTATAACTATGATTATGATTTGACTATGATTATAATTATGTTACAGGAGCTGCCTTCCCCTCAGTGTTGGCTGATAATGTTGGCCTGAACGGTATAGCGGGTAAGGTTATGAGTGTAACCAACACATTCACATCACATTCACACTAAAAAGACGCTTCAAACAGTGTTTAATACACTTTTTCCAGTGATTATACACAAAATTATTCTACTCAAGGTTGCAGAAAATGACCTTATCAAGCTCAAAGGGCTCCAAAAATGAGACATTGCTGTTCACTTTCTCACACTTTATTTTTTATCTGAATATGAAAGAAGACTTTAGAAATCTTTACAGGCAAAATAAAATGTATACCCAACTATTATTTAGACAGGGGCTATGTTTTAATCACCTATTTTTATGCACATTTTGGAATATTGCTTAAAAACTGCATAATGGAGACATCAACATTATATTTTGAAAATGTGCATTAAAATCTGAGTAGGATAAACCTTTTGGCTGATAAGAAAAAGTATGCAACACTTCAATGAAAACACATTTGCGAAATAAATTCCAGCATGTGCATCAAAATAGTGTCATGATCATGTGATAACCAAAACATGTGCAATGTGATGGCATTAATGGACAAATCAGCTGACCAACCACATTGTAGAATATCTAAAATGTTGTTTTGGTCATTTTAAAATCCCTCAGCCAAAGTCTGTCATCAAAGTACTTTGATATTATTGCCCCCCAGAATTTTCTGGAGTGACTGCACTCCCAGTGGTCTCACGCTTCCAGACATAAGCAAAAATCATCTGAGGCATGAGTAATATTATATTAAACATTTGATATATTATAAGAAAAAACTCCCACACTGGCATCTTCTGCCGCCCCAAAACCTATTGTTTTCTTAGATTTTTGATGCCAGTTTAACAGTAAGTGACAATTTTGTTCTTTTTGACTAATTGGCAGAGATGGCAAAAGTACACACATCTTTTACTCAAGTAGAAGTGCAGATACTCATGTTCAAAACGACTCTGGGTAAAAGATGAAGTAGTGACTACGCTTTTGCCCTCAAGTAAAAGTAAAGAAGTAAGGCCTGAAACATGTACTTAAGTAAAAAGTATTCATTACTACTGAATAATACTACCTGTTTTAGTTTCACAGTGGTAACTACTGCACATCATGTATACATCTGTACAAAATAGCTTGCATTTCTAATTTTTTCAGCAACAAATTAGCCAAGCAACATCGTTCTACAATATTGTCCAACAACACTGCTCAAAAAGTTGCCCTGTGTGTATCATCACATGGACACAAAACTTAACTATACTGAATGGCTATTAAAAATAACAGCTGCCACACTGGTTCATATACTCTAAAACATAATTCTTTAGTCTGCCTATGTTTTAAAAAATAATAAATGACTTAAATTTAACACTACATTTTCTCTAAAACATATTTTAGTATTTTTTTTTTTATAAAAAAATATATGTATATTTGAGTACAAATCATTTTTGCACTATGGTGAAGCTGCTTCATTTTCTGAAACAGCAACACTCTTCCTGCTCATATGATTTCACTGTTTGTTTGTTGTTTTGTTTTGTTTGTTTGTTCTCAGAGTATTGTAGATATTTTATTTAACAAATAAAGTCATTAATGCTGTTAATAGATTTGTGCATCATCATTTTTCACATGATAAATTCCTGATCCTTTGCATTATTTTATTCATAAATAAACCCAATATACCTACTTTTGATGTTCTAAAATATTTGTCTAAAAATCTAACAAATTAAAACAAGCCTACTTATGGTGCGTGACCAGAGGTTGAGAAAGAACGCAGCACGCAGATGTGCAATGATGAGAAATGTATTAATTGCATCAAAAAGGCATTCAAATTGCGCAATGGCAAGAAATAATACAGATCTGCCACACATGAATACGAAAGTAACGACCCAGATTTAAAAATGTAAGGAGTAGAAAGTAAAGATATTTGTGTAAAAATGTAAGGAGTAAAAGTAAAAATTTGTCAAAAAAAGTAGTGGAATAAAGTACTTATACAAATAAAATCTACTTAAGTACAGTAACAAAGTCTTTGTTATCATTGGATGGAAACGGTTTGCGTGATTTTATGCATAAATCTGATTCACATTTTTGAATGAAAACATAACTATGAAGCAAAATTATTGAACCGTGTTCTTTTTGTTGTAAACATACACTGTCAGCTAGCTTGTGAGTGTGTGTCAGCACATACTGCACATCATATTTAAACTATAGAAATTATATTAATAGCTGATGCCTTTGCTAATGACTTTTAATATTTTGCTAAAACTTTCTACTAGAATACTAGTGGTTTTGCTCACATTTACTAGAAGCATGATAAATGACATCTCATAGATTAATATGCTCTCTTACAGGCCTTGGAGCTGGTGGTCTTGGTGGTGCAGGACTGGTAATGAACCCTGGTGTTGATGCCAAGTCTAGAAAGTATGGTAAGAAAGAAAGAAACAAACAAAAAAAACTCTCAAAACTGAAACTTAACAAATGTGAATAAAAATGAGCTTCATTTTCATTATTATTTGTAATTCTTTTATTATTAATACATTTTGTTATTAATAGAGAATAATTTTTATTGTTAATTGAGATTATTGTTATTTTGATTCATTTATTTCATTTCATTTTAAGTGTTGCATAAATCAAGGCTTAAGTAGTATTTTTAAATCGTTAGAACTGTTCATCTGACCAAATTTCTTTTAGCTGTTTTAAATTGTCTTTAACTCCAGCTTAAAGGGATAGTTCACTCAAAACTGAAAATTCTGTCATTTACTAACCCTTCACTTGTCGCAAACCTATTTGAGTTTTTTTTTTTCCTGTTGAACATAAAATAATTTATTAGAAAAATGTTGGAAACATTTGAAACATTGACTATGGAAGTCAATGGTTACATATTTCTAACATTCTTCAAAATATCTTATTTCGTGTTTACCAGAAAAAAAGAAACTCCTATAGCTTTGGAACCACTTGAGAGAGAGTAAATAGCGAATAGTTTTTACCCACAATTCACTCCAAGAGGCCTTAGGGGAAAACACAGTGCTATTTTTCACAGTGTATGCCACAAACTCAGTTTGTTTCCAAGTGGGCCAAGACCACCTTTTTCAGGCAGTCTCAGACTGATTGCTTTTGTAGAGATATAATTACCGTGTTCACAAACGGCCATATGAAATAAGCCTAACCAGGTTGTGAAAGAGCAAACCATGTGTGAAAGCACCCTAATATATACCCATGTGTGAAAACATCAAAATATATACCCATTTGTGAAAGCACCCTATCAAGCAGACAACAATAAATGCAGGTGTAATGTGGGCAATGTTTTGAGCATGTCCACTTTCAACCACTTCCAAAGATGAGACCAAATTGTTTTCATAGTGTAAACACTCATGTGGTCAAACACGTTCAAACAGGCCCAAACAATCAGCTGCTCTCTGCATACCGATGAAACACGTGATCATTATGGGATATGTGAGAATGCACACAAAAACAAGACATTCAACTGACTAAAATGCAGATCCTGATCAAAATCATAGTTACCATCCACTTGCTAATTCCCTCAACGTGTTCATTTATTCTGTAGTACTCGTTTGCAAAAGTGATGTAGAGAGCGTGACAAAATAAGAGAGAAGGGTCTCAACAAAATCCAAACTCAAGTGGTCACAAGAGACTTATTTGAACATTTGTTAATAGCATTTGGAAGCAGAGTCTTAGTGTTGGCCTGATCCTGTAATCCGTCTGCTTTGTGTAAAGGGGTTGGTGGAGTCCTTGGAGCTGCCGGATCCTTGCCTTACGGAGGTCAGCCTGTGGTTTCAGCTGGACTCGGCCCTCAGGGCAAGACCGGTGGTTATGGCGGAGCTACATATGGAGGATTACCAACCCTTGGGCCAGACGCTGGTTTGGGTATGTGCATCGCATGTGTTTGTTATTCAAATGCAATATGCAAATCCCAGCTTTGCTGATGCTTTGCCTGAGGATTTGACTTGAACGTGGATGTCCCCTGTGAGGAAAAGAAAGTAGACGAATTAAACATGGCAATGAAGTATCCAAATAAACTAATGATTTGATTAAGATCAGACTATTATGTATTAGAAAGAAAGTAAAGATGATCTGTCTCCTGTCAGGTGGTACAGGTGGAGCAATGGAGCCTTTAGCAGGTAAAATTGTGGAGTTTTTGTGAATATTCCTTCTGTATTACATTCTTTTCTGACAACAATATTGTACCTGTGCAGGTGGAGCTGTAGGCCAGATTCCTTACAACTCACCAGTCATCGCTGCTGGACTTGATGGTAAGTTGGTTAGAAAAAGCCAGAAACAAACCATCCTGGAGTGTCTGATGGTGACTCAGCTGTTAATGTGTTGACCCGCAGGTGAGGCTGGTTATCCTTTTGGTGCTGAGCAGCTCAGTCTGGGCGCTGATGTTTCTAAGGCAGCTGCCAAATATGGTGAGAATATGAGCATTTTTAATAGTCCTGTGTTATAGTAAGATCTATAAACAAATGCAAGGTTTCTTTAAAATTGGTAGGCCTTTATGGTATTGCATTATTATATACCGCATAGTGACTAGATAAATGATCAGTGTTTAAAAGATTAACGTTGATGTAAATTAACATGCAGTAAGTATCTATTAATGAGAATCCTGATTGGAAAGTTTATTTTTTTCTAGGAAATCAGTACTTTTATATCACAGAAATCTTACAATGATTAAACGTTGTCGTTAAGAAACAGCATTACTAGAGATTTCTTTTTCCAAAAATCCTAATGTATATATTCAGAAGAAAAAGTTGTTTCCATAAAACATTGAATGTACATACACGCATTCATACAGCCATATACAGCCAAGGGGTATACATAATTTCAGGCTGTACATACGTAAAAAAAAAAAAAAAATCAAACAAAAGGACAAACTAACCCTTCATTTAGTTTTACAATACAATAGTTTTGTCTGTATAAAAATGGAAATTTAATAAAAATCTAATGAGATGCAATGTGTTTTTTTCTCACAATATATAAAAAGCAGGATTCCCATGGGTCATGGAATTTCTGAAATAAAACAATTTTAATATGTTTTTATTTTTACATTAAAAATGTGGCTTTATGGTGATCGAATAAAGAGAGACGACATGATAAGGAAAGTTTAGCAAGATTCTATCTTGAGATGCCTACATGGCCATTGAGGCCAACTTTTAACATATTTTTGATACACACTCACTGGCCACTTTATTAGGTACACCTTACTAGTACTAGGATTGACCCACGTTTGGCTTCAGAACAGCCCTAATTCTTCGTGGCATAGATTCAACAAGACACCGGAAATATTCCTCAGAGATTTTGGTCCTATTGACATGATAGCATCACATAGTTGCTGCAGATATGTCAGTTGTTGATCCATGATGTGAATCTCCCGTTTCGCCACATCCCAATAGTGCTCTATTGGATTAAGTTCTGGTGACTGTGGAGGCCATTTGAGTACAGTGAACTCATGTCATGTTCAAGAAACCAGTCTGAGATGATTCGCGCTTTTATTGCTTTTATGACATGGTGTGTTATCCTGCTGGAAGTAACCATCAAAAGATGGGTACATTGTGGTGATAAAGGCTCAATTGGTACTAATGGGCCCAAACTGTGCTAGAACATATGCCCCACTCCATTACACCACCACCACCAGCCTGAGTCATTTATACAAGGTAGGATGGTTCCATGCTTTCATGTTGTTAACGCAAAATTCTGACCCTACTGTCTGAATGTCGCTGCAGAAATCGAGACTCATCAGACCAGGCAACGTTTTTTCAATCTTCTATTGTCCAATTTTGGTGAGCCTGTGCCAATTGTAGCCTCAGTTTCCTGTTCTTAGCTGACAGGAGTGGCACTTGGTGTGGTCTTTTGCTCCTGTAGCCCATCTGCCTCAAGGTTGGACGTGTTGTGTGTTCAGAAATGCTCTTCTGCATACCTTGATTGTAACGAGTGGTTATTTGAGTTACTGTTGCCTTTCTATCAGCTAAAACCAGTCTGGCCATTCTCCTTTGACCTCTGGCACAAGGCATTTGCACCCACAGAACTGCCCCTAACTGGATATTTTCTCTTTTCAGACCATTCTCTGTAAACCCTATGGTTGTGCATGAAAATCAAAGTAGATCCGCAGTTTCTGAAATATACAGACCAGCCTGTCTGGCAGAAACAACCATGCCACATTCAAAGTCACTTTAATCACTTTTCAGGATTTCTATGTATTACTGAATAATAATTATTAATACAGAAAAAAAATCATAACTGATATGGCACATTCAGAAACATCATGCATGCCAAATGACCTCCTGATTTATTGTCACTCATTTCCCCTCTGTCATGTTAAAGGGTAGTTCACTCGAAAATAAATAATTACTTTCCATTTACTCACCCTCAGGTGATATGAGTTTCTTTTTTCTGTTAAATGCAAAATAAGCTACTTAGAAGTATGTTGGAAATCCTAAGTCAATGACTACCGGTTTCCAACATTTTCCAAATATCATCTTTGGTGTTCAACAAGGAAAGAAACTCAATCATGTTTAGAACAAGGGAGGGATGAGTAAATCATGGCTAAATGTTCATTTATTAGGTGAACTATCACTTTAACAGCATGAAAAGATTAAACACACAAACGCCTTTTACTAATAGCAAGTTTCATAACTGATTATTTCCAGGCACAGGAAGCTATGCAGCTGCACTAAGCACTGGCGCTCAAGCTCTCTCTGGTAGTAAGTACTGAAACCACTGAAACCACATCAGTAGAAATAAATTAGTTCAATTTAATAAATACATTCACTATGTTTAATATTTCATCTACAGCACAGAAAGATGGAAGCAAGCTTAGTGGCCTTTATGGCAACGGGTACAAAGGTAGATGGCATTTTAGAACATCTACATCTATATTTATTTCCTTTTTTGTACATCTATCTTTTCTAATCTTCTCTTTCTCTCCAGGTTGATTTCTGAAGCCGTGCTGTTAACATCCTCAAATTTTTGGACCCTATTTTTCCTAGTGTTCCTCACCGTTGTGCAGTTTTGTGACCAGTTTTGTTGTCGCTTTGTTTTATGTGTCTCTTTAGGTGGATTTTGTATGTACATGTTGTTTTGATGTTCCCCCAGTCTGTCATTTGTCTCGTCCAGTGGAGTGTTTCGTGTCCCTTGTGTGTCTCTGTATCTAACTAAAACATGCTAAGCACTTCAATGGCTGTTATTTTAATTCTTATGAAAAACTAAACATTCCACCTTCTAACATGAGTCTTAGTGTTTGTTTGATCATCTGTGAGGATCACTTGAAAATAGGGTGCTATTAGAATCAAAGCAACCCAATAGATGGTTGTAATTTGCAGTATGAGTGCATTCCTTTTTGTGTTATCGAGTTAACCATTACATAAAGGCTCAAAACAGGATGGTAGCAATATGACAGAGTATACCATAACAGTCATAATCTTGTGAGCTCATAAGTGTTGTTTATTCTGCTCTCGATTCTCATCTGTCTACAGGAAAACCACACAACTAGCATCCTGTGTCTCACTGGTTAGGCATCATTTAAGAGAAAAATACGAATCAGAGCCATTGTTAAAGGGACTTACAAATACAGATTGCGTAATCTTTTGTGCTATTTTTATAGTGAGCTATGGAAAAATAGCTTTAGTAATAAAACATTAGTGTTGTTTTGTACACTTTGAGACCTGTTTTATAGACAAAAGCAGTTTAAACAGTGTGCACAATGTCTTCTTTTATGTTCTGCAGAGGGAAAAAGAGTAATGCGGGTAGCAGATATTTATTTATGGGTGAATTATTTTATGAACAAAACAGATTGATCAGAAAAAAGATACAAGCATTTGTTAAAAACTATATAACTATCATCATGAACATTGTTATGTCTTTCTATAACCATGAAATGTACATGTGATTAGTAATAATGCAGATTGAAGAAGCATTATTTTGAACACAGCACGGTTACAATATAAGTGGCATGTTATTGAGAAAATGTTAGTGCAAGCATGGAAATCATGCAGTATAGATAGATACACTTTTTTGACTTTCATATTTTGTTCATTTTGTTGATCAGAATAAACTTTGCAACTACAAATCAGTTACAGTCATAATATAGTATTAGCTGACATTTTGTCTGCTTGTGGGAAATTTAAACACCAATTTAAAGGCAAAGTGTTGAATGGTAATGGAATTAGCAAACAATTTATTGACATTTATGTAAATATGTTCTAAAACTATTTCATGATGTAGAATCAGGGTTATGATTTAAAGCTTTTTTATAAAATAAAAAAGCTAAATATGAAGAAAATTACATTATTTTTTTTAATACACAATAAGGCATGATGAGAAATATACACAATATAATTTAGAGCACAAAAAGTCATGATTTTCAAAAATATAACACACTTGCTGAAGATACCATATTGTTATGGCCTAATATTTTGTGTTCCACAACAATAGGTGAGAAATTATTCAAATATTAGTTACAAGATACGGAACACCTTCCTTGTTAGGCATCCAGGAGGCATCTGAAACAGATGCCTGAGCCACCTCAGCTGACTTCTCTTGATGTGGAGAAGCAGCGGCTCTACCAGAGCTGCTCACCCTTTCCATAAGGGTGCGCTCTGCCTCCCTGTGAAGGAAACAAACTTCAGCCGCTTGTATCCGAGATCTTGTCTTTTCGGTCATGACCCAAAACTCATTACCTTAGGTTGAGAATAGGAGCTTGACCGGTAAATCGAGAGCTTTGCCTTTCAACTCAGCTCCTCCTTCACCACAACGGACCGGTACATCGACCGCATTACTGCTGCCACTGCACCAATCCACCTGTCAATCTCACGTTCTATCCTTACCTCACTTGTGAACAAAACCCTAAGATACTTGAACTCTTCCACTTGGGGTAAGGATTTTTCTCCAACCTGGAGATGGCTAACCACCTTTTTCCGGTGGAGCATCATGGCCTCGGACTTCGAGGTGCTGACTCCCATCCTAACCGTGTCACACTTGTGAAACTCTATACTCCTCCATGAACTGCCACCTTATCGTGGTGGAGGGGTTTAAGTACCTGAGTGATCCTAAGAGCTATGTTGTCGGGGGCTAATGCCCCTGGTAGGGTCTCCCAAGGCAAAAAGGTCTTAGGTGACTAAGTGCTGTTCAAAAAGTTCTTATGAGTTTAGTAACAGCAAGGACCGTCATGTCGCTTGGTATGACGCTGCCGGGGCCTCACCCTGGAGCCAGGCCTAAGGTTGCTGCTCGTATGCGAGCGCATGGTGGCTGGGTTTTTTCCCACGGAACCTGACTGGGCTTAACCCGAAGAAGCGATCCTACTGCAAGTCTGCTACCTGCAGGGGGAGCCGTGAGGGGCCAGTGCATTGTGGAACGGGCGATGGTCGAAGGTTAGGACGATGACAACCCGATTGGGCATGACTTTAAGTGACAAATTATGAAAAGAATTACTAAATATTACCCAAAAACTCGCAATAACTTCTATACAACAATCTATAACAAGACAAAGTTTTATATTAATTACAAATATAACTTTAAAAAAAAACAAGTCACTGACAATTGTAGAAATAGGCTGTACTCACACTATGTACAGCTGTCTCGAACCGGGCCAAAGCATGCTTGTCCACCCTCCCGCCTCCCCCGACGGCCCGCACTCACATTACATTCGGGCCTGGGCACGCTTACGTCATCGATGCTGTGCTGTTCAGTGAGAAGCGCTCTCACTCAGAACAGTGGAGATTTCTCTAGTTATATCGCTTTAGTCCTTAGGGATGCGATGACACGCAGTCAGATATTTCGCCGAACAGATCAGCCACTTTTGATGCTCATAAACAATCATTAAGCCTTTGTGCTGCAGGAATGAGGAGGTTTGCTGAAGGTGTGCAGCTGTGGTGCAGTGAGGGGTTTGCATCTTTAATAACTACAACAGTTTGCGTTCACTGAACAGTAAGGTTGATTAATAAATCCATATGAAACTCGCACACAAGTGTACTGGGCCAAAGTGAGCCCGTTTCAGCGCACTCACACTTCTCAAATCCGGGAAACGGGCCTGGGCACGGTACAATAGCATAGTATTGAGTACACCCTTACTGCAATTGTAGAATCACCCAGACATATGCAAAAAAAAAAAACTTCTAAGAATGGTATAGCCTAAATATGTATTATGCAAGAATTAGATTAAATATAATAATCGTATAGTAATAAATACAAGCAAGAATCAGGATATATTGCAAATAGCCACATAATCTCATCCAGAGCCAAAGTATCTACAAAACTGTATTATTGTAATTTGTCTTGTGATATACGTAAAGTCTGTCCAGAAGCACTCCATGGCTTAAAAGTATTTCTGGTGGCACAGGTCGTGCATTTCGAGACACGTAAACCTTCTCCAGGTGAAAGTTCATGGGGGAACCCACATACTTTTCACAATAGGTGCCAGCCAAACCGGGGGCGCATGTCACTTTTGTATTGTAATAGAGCAAACCATGATTCAAACTGCAGAAATTGTAGGTCTGACTCTGATCTACTTTTATGGCTACCTGACAGGTTCCCAACAAATCGTCATCCCATTTACTGTCTTCATCCCACACCTCCAGTTTGATATTGTCATTCTCTGCCAGGATGACATCACCCAGATCGAAGGTTTGCCCCCAGTAGGGTGAATTGTTATTCGGTATCATATTTGTGGATCCAATCTTCACGTTATTTTTGTCGAACACTTTAACATAGCCATCGGTCGCTGTGGTTGTGTCACCCCAAAGATCTTGAGCCTTAACGACCGTGACCTGCACCCGAGAGAGTCCACGTTTGGACGGGCAACAGTCTGGTGTGATTCCGGGTTTGTTGTGGCAAGTGCAGACACATGGATTGTTTGGGTTGGTTTTGACGCCATTAGTGCAGGGGTCGGTGCAGTTCCTCCAAAGGGAATTTTCCAGGATGTAGTCGTGGATGGCTTGGCGCATGTGTTTGCGCACTGGGTATTTGGTGGGGATCAGCTCGTGCAGGGACTCCAGAGAGTGAGAAATCACATCTGGGTTTTGCGGCAGGGACGCCAGCCATTCTTTGTAAGCTGATGGGTCTTTCCCTCCTGAAAAAAGGAGCTCGGGCTCTGTGGTGTGACCTCCGGTGACCTCGGTCAGCCTTTGACAGAAACATAAAGATCATTTGAGAAGTGTTAGATACGGATTCACTGATAATACATTTTTGGCCAATTTTTTTTTTTATTTAAATAAAATAGTAATGCTAAAAAAAAATTTCAGTACAAATGGCTATATGATTCAGAAGCTCCTGTTGTTAGTGAGAGTTTTGCTATTAGTGAGGTGGCTGTCACCATAAAATCCAGATTTCACAATTTCCACATTCGAAAAGCTCTCGAGTAAAAAAAAAAATCTTACAAACATATTTTCGAGCTGTGTTCTAATCACAGGGAAATGGAAACAAAACTTTTGCTTTAGCACATTTATAAATGCAATACTGATGACCCATGTCTCCAAACAATTCTTCTACTTGTTGGCAACACAACGTGGCGCTTCTCTAAACACTGCAACAGATAAAAAGAGTCTTCGAAACTATATCATGCATATTAATGAAGTTCCATCTCGTTCACAATAGAGCATGCTTATTGGTTCAAACCAAGTCTTTCTCATGAATTAATGCCAAAAACTCAATAACGTCACTTTGTACTGGTCGGTACAGACAGCCAATGATCTCATGGCTGTGGAACTGGAAGAACAAATTAACGCAACATATAACGCAAAAACAACCAATTTTCACTTTTTAGCTAAATGATGTATCCTAACAGTGTTTTTAGCAATGTGGGACATATATATGACTGTCAACATCTCAAACAATGTGTTGCGTTTTGTGACCCTTTAAGTGTACAGTCAGAAACGTATTAGAGATTGAACATATTTCAATATATGCAATATGCACATGCTTACACTCCAATTTGCTGCTTCATCATTAAATGAGCTCATTAAAATGATATTGTTACATCTTTTTGATTTTTTTTCTGTCAAAAATGTTTATGTAAATATCTGTCTACAGGGTTCAACCTTGGAGGTCAGGGATTGTAAGTTGTTTACACATTGACAGTAAAATATCATCAACACATCACTAGTACATATTAAGGTTGATAAAGTGATTTTGTACTTCAATTACAAAAATTAAAAAACAAACAAAACATTTGTTGTTGAACATTAAGAAATGTTAAACCATGATAACCAAAATGGTATTGTAGTAAATGGCATTTCTATTAAAACAGTATACAAACGGTGATCAACATGTGCAAAATCACATAATTACTGCAATTTTAATATAATATATTTTTATAAAGAGCGAAAACATGGCTAACAATGGAGCAGAAAAGTAATGGTTTTAATTATATTTTTCATTAAAGAAAAAAATTATATATTCATTCATTTTCTTGTCGGCTTAGTCCTTTTATTAATCTGGGGTCACCACAGCGGAATTAACCGCCAACTTATCCAGCATGTTTTTTACGCAGCAGATGCCCGCAACCCATCTCTGGGAAACATCCACATATACACACTCATACTACTACATACATACTACGGACAATTTAGCCTACCCAATTCACCTGTACCGCATGTCTTTGAACTGTGGGGGAAACCGGAGCACCCGGAGAAAACCCACACGAACGCAGGAAGAACATGCAAACTCCACACAGAAACGCCAACTGAGCCGAGGTTCGAACCAGCGACCTTCTTGCTGTGAGGCGACAGCACTACCTACTGCACCACTGCTTCGCCATATATATATATATATAAATTGTCCGTAGGTATATACATACATACAGTATATATATATATATATATCAGAATAAATATATAGTCAGAATTATTAGTTCCCCTGTTTATTTGTTTCCCCAATTTCTGTTTAACGGAGAGAAGATTTTTTTCAGCACATTTCTAAACATAATAGTTTTAATAGCTCCTCTCTAATAACTGATTTATTTTATCTTTGCCATGATGACAGTAAATAATATTTGACTAGATATTTTTCAAGACATTTCTATACAGCTTAAAGTGACATTTAAAGGCTTAACTAGGTTAATTAGGTTAACTAGGCAGGTTAGGGTATTAGGCAAGCTATTGTATAACAATGGTTTGTTCTGTAGGCTATCGAAAAAAAAAGCTTAAAAATAAGCTAAAATTGGACAAAATTTACAACTGATTTTATTCTAGCCAAAATAAAACAAATTATACTTTATTAAAAAATGTTATCGGACATACTATGAAAATTTCCTTGCTCTGTTAAACATAATTTGGGAAATAATTTAAAGAAAAAATAAATTTAAAGGGGGCTAATAATTCTGATTTCAACTGTGTGTGTGTATGTATATATGTATATATATATATGTATATATGTATATATATATATGTATATGTATATATATATATATATATGTATATGTATATATATATATATATATATATATATATATATATGTGTGTATGTGTGTGTGTATATATATATATATATATATATAAGCTTTATTTGTATTTGAAAAAATAAACTTCTCAATATACACAAAATATAGTTTATTGATTTAAGAATGTTAACATATCTTGAGTGGAAAACAAGTTTAAAACACATTTTTTAGGATGAACACTAATCTTTTAAACTTCTTGCAGTGTTTTTGCAGATATAAGACAAACAGCTGCTAAGATGTTGTACCGTTTTGTCCAAAATATTTGAATGCAGTGTTTTTTAGATGAAACTTTATCTTTGCCACCACGTAATACTTACTTTAGTCATATTTGAAAAATTTTATCAATAAATCATGCATCCCTTGATGATCAGTTTTACTTAATCCCATCCCTTTTCGCAGCTCCGCACAACAGAATTTCGCACACACAAACTCTAGTGTGACAGCAGCTTTACTAGCCTTTCTAAACCTCCTTGCAGGTGTGCTGAGGCAAGTTGGAGCTAAAATCTGCAGGACACTGGCCTTGCAGGACCGAGTTTGGACACCCCTGATTTAGGGAAACTCCTAAGGTAAATAAGTGGTATCTCTGAACTTTAATAATAAACCTGCATTCAACCTCCAGTCGCAATTACTTCTGGGACGTCTAAAGCAAGATCGGTGCTCAAGTCTGCATCGGTGCATCCTTGATATCAAAAACACATCCGGGAACTGTCACGTGTCGCTGTTCTTGCGGGAGCTGAACTTTGGCAGTCGATGATGACGTTACACGAGAACACAAGGACGCAAGATTGCTGAAGAACACATATTGAGAAACAGCCAGTCTCTAGGTCAATGCGTGTAAACATTTTACACATCTTAAACACTTTTAATGCTTTCAAATAGTTTGCTGCATTTATATAGTGCACATATCTTGAGGTTGTTCAGTATGACGCAATTTAATTTCTATGTGCGATTTGGACAGGAATCACAGGATTTAACTTTTCTACTATTCTCATAGACAAGAAATAATGGAGTGTGGAGTAAAAGTACAGATGCTGCACTAAAAATGTACTTTAGGGAAAGTAAAAGTACACCTTTTTTAAATTCCTGAGGAAAAACTACTCAATTACAGTCATTTGAGAATTTGTAATTTGTTACTTTACTCCACTGGCAATATATGTAAGACAAGCTATACACGAATGAACTCACCTGTCATTGAAGCGGCTGGAGAAGCTGGTTTTGCTCTCTGTTTTGTCCTGATTTTGACTACAGTGTTTTGATTCGGCTTTCATGTCTGCTTTGCCAAGAATGCTCATATTTGCCTCCAAATCCAAGCAGGCCTTTACTTCGTCTGTGCTTAAGCCCTGAAGAGCGGTTTCACATTGTCTGATACTGGTCACTGAGTGCACGTTTCCGCCAAGAGTTACCTGGCAAAATAAATCTGATTACTGATTTGGCTTGTTGAAGTATTTTGGCCTTTGTAATCCATTCAGTGCAAGTGTCGTAAATTATAAAGAAGTCGACCCTTGAATTACCTTTGTGATGTAATGGGTTCCAAAGGTGTTAATGAACTTGTAGAAACGCGGCTTGAATTGAAGGTTGTATGTCTTGGGAAGCTCCTTCACAGATCGTTTGAACTCAGGATGGAGAACAGGCTTGTTGGAGACTCGATAGCTGTAGATATACATGGGAAACTTGTGTTAGGCAAGAAATATAGGAGAAGACTGTGTGATATTAGACTTTTATGACAGCAGTTCTCAAAAAGAAGGACCCCAAAAGACTTAATTTTATAAATGCGCCAAAAAAAGTTATTAAATCAGCAAAAACACTAAAACATCAAGATCTTTCTTGCTTTTTTTTCACCTTTTAAAATGCTGACGAAATTGTATGGTACCAGTTTTGAGAATATAAAAGTGATAACATATGAAGCGTACTCTATAAGAAAATAAATCTGTATAATAAAATCAGTACTGGCATTGCTTGTCTTTTCTTTTTATTTGAGATACATTTTTGGCCTTTTTGCCTTTATTACCCACATAGCAAAATTTCTCTGGCCCAGTTCTGGCCCACACAATCAGCTTTTGGTGATTTTTGATGAATGCTTGCTGTGCCAGCTTTATCCCAAATCTGGGCCAGAATTTTTTGCTACCTGGGTGGGTAGATAGGACAGTAATTGGACAGCCTAGCACCAATTACTAGCACTGACTTTTTCCTTAGTTTGTGTCATCTGCAGCAGTCATTTCTTATATTCGACAGGATTTAAAATGTCTTTAATAATCAGGGAGCGAAGCGAATGCAGGAATGGGGAGGGATAAAAAAAACCTGGCAGACCACGAAGCCCCAGGCCAAGACCTCGAGGCGTCTGATATGGCACAAAGTTACTTCGTTATGAGCCGAATTAACAGCGGCTTCGGATTTAAATGCTACGTTGGGGTCTGCTGTTGATGATTTGGTCTCTCGATTGAAGGGACAGAATCTACGAGTGGTCGGCCCCAGAGGGGATTGAGGTTAGAAATCCAAGAGAATTCATGAAAGACTTTTTCTTTATTACCATGAAAGACGTCCTGTCAGCCCCGCCTGAAATTGATTTTGCTTATCGGAGTTTGGCACATTTCTTCTAGAGTTTCATGAAATTTCAGGTGTTTCAGTTTTAGTTTGCCGACTTTAACTGCAGTTTGGCACTTTCACTTTCATTCAGAAATGTTTCATGCATGCTCCCCGTTGCAAATGAGTTATTGAAAGCTAGTTATTAAAATTATTAAAATTAATATTGTGTATAAATTAACATATTTATGATTTCAAACAGTTAATTAAAGTCAGTTTGGCAAATTGCAGTTACTTGATTTATTGTTCATTACAAATTGTGTACAAAATAATTCTTATCCAGTTTACAAGGAAATGTACAATCTTGTAAAAATCACTGAATAAGTTTTAAGAGTTCACACTTAAATATTGATTGACGCTATTAGCGGGTTTAGCATGCTGTCCTGAGAACCCTGAGCTCTGAGATAATTGAGCCCAGGGCTCCCGCCTGGTCAGTAAAGGGGATCCGAGATTATGTAGGTCTCGAGAGCTTCCCCTGGTAAAGGGAGAAAAAGGGGAGATGGGGTGGAGACGGGGATTCTTCCAATATAAAGATAAGTCAGCAGGGCAATCTGTCTATTTATTGTAAGCTTGAATCAATCTGATTGGATTATTGCTGATTACGGATGAGAGGCCAGCCATGATCAATCATATCATGTGCTCTTCTCAAACTTTGTTTGTAAAACTTCACTCGCTCACTCGCTTCACTTCGCTCTTAAACTAATTTGAGTGGCGGGGGGGTGACTTTGGAAAGTAGAAGTGTATGCAGTACTATTAGACAAGAATCCCACCTGTAATAAGCACAGGAAATACTTTGACTTGCAAAGTTGAACTTGTCTTTTTTGGTCTTCTCCATTGAGTACTCTGCAAGCTTTGACTTGCTTCCTGCCAAAACTATCGAGCCTGTTGTTTTTTTAGCCTCTATCCCCAAACTTGCACCCCAGTTGTTCTCAATAGAGGAGGCGCTGGAGCTCACCAGGTCCTCGCTGGAATGGTATAGAGAACTGGAGACTTTCACGGTGCATTTTTGGCTGGTTCTCCAGTCCACCACTGACAGAGGAAGCTTTTGTAAAGCTCCGTCCATATAGGGGTTCTTGCAGAGGGTGCAGGATTTGTCCTTTTGCCTCCAGACGTCTGTGTTGATGACAAAAGCTCCCTTGCGCTGCATCTTGATCACGTCGTATCCTTCTCCGGCCAGGTTAGATCCGGGTGCAAAGGTTGCTTCTTCACACTCTTTGGGTTTACCTTTAGTGCAGGACTGCACAACAGGCAAGAGAAGGTAAAAAAACAATCCAGCCCTCATCTCTGTCAATGAGTGGAGGAAATGTGTATGGATGCTCTTCTTTCCTGTGAAAAAACAAGGCATTTTGAGTTTTAACCTTTTTAAACCCACTGACAACTAGTTGCCAAAGTTCACAGTTGAAATGTTCCTTTTATAAGTCATTTTCTACATGCTATCCGTCTTTAATTTCTCAGTGGCATGCAAGCAAACCGCTAAATAAAAGATTTCAAGATAGAAAAAAGGAATTGATTTACTTCATGTCATGTGAGGCTTTTGGCTTTCTACTCCTAATTCCAGGATGCAAAATGGAGGCAAACTCTCCCAAATAAAGGCAATTTTCATGTTACTGATTTTTTTCTTTACAAATATATAATACCATAATTATGAAGATCTCTAGATTCATCCAAACAAAACAATACTTACAAGAGAGCTATAGTTTTTTGTCTATCTAAATTTCAAAAGATCAAATACAAATACAAATGGGCAAATACAACTCTATAAGTTTGGAAAACATGAGGAATTAGGGAATAATGTGTAAATACGTTTATAAATCAAGGTTATTGATTGACTTTTGCTTTCATAATACTCCATCTAAATATAACTTAAGCCTTTAACTGATATCTTTACTTTAAAACAGACTTTTCTGATACACGAATTGACACACAGCAAAATCCTCAGAGTAAAATAAACTTTTCCCACTTGGAAATAACACTTAAACCTTTTTATTTATTTATCTTTTTGACTAACAGTAGTCTTTTGGGGAAACTAGTGTGTGTTTCATGACTGTTAGACAAATGGATTAGTTGAAATTATATGATAGATCATTTTTGGGAGGGTTCATATCAAATGGTTTTCTAATTTTAAACATGATAAATGTGTTTATGAATATGAATTGATATGTTGAAAGCAGTTTCTTTGAGTTAGAAAGCCAAACGTCCTCCTCCTATTCAATTTTTACGTTAAAGGGTTCTTACAACATATTTGCTCACCGACAACTATAGTAGCTGCATATTCAAAAACCTGGAGAAAATAAATGCAAACATGTTTATGAAACCATAAAAATGGGTTAATAGTGGCAGTTTTACAAATTGGTTTATTCAGCTGCAATTTATAACTTGTATTTATAAACGTTGGATTAATTTTTTTGTTGTTATTCAAAATGTGTTATTTTTTTCTCTAGTAGATGGCACACGTAACACACACACACACACACACACACACACACACACACACACACACACACCACGCACACTATATTACCAAAGGTGGCAACCTTTGCCAATCTATTGGGTTTAAAATGGAGTTGGCCCAGCTTTTGCAGCTATAACAGCTTGAGCTCTTCTGGGAATGCTTTCCACAAGATTTAGGAGTGTTTATGGGAATATTTGCCCGTTCTCCTGGAAGTGCATTTGTGATATCCAATGGACTTATTGTGGCAACCTATCACTGTGCCATGCTTGAATTTACTGAGCTCCTGAGAGCAATTCTTTTACGAATGTTTGTAGAAGCATTCTGCACACCTAGATGCTGGATTTTATACGCCTCAGGCCAGTGAAATGATTGAAATGCCTGAATTTATGATGTAGAGCAGAGATGCCTAAACTAGGGCCCGTGGGCCAAACGCAACCTTTGAGATGGCCCGCCATCATATCTGGAAAGAGAGGGAGAATTATGGGGATGGTTTAGAGATTGTCATTTGAAATCTAATGTAACATTTTGATTATTTTGCTGCTGGAAGCTAACTGAAATGAAATCTTTCAATTAAGTATTGTAAACAAATCAGTTTAGATGTACATACTGTCACCCGATGAACAGTTGCAGAGACTTTGGTGAGCAAATCAAGGTAAAGGCAGATTCTCCTTGACTTGTGTATTCATGTTTCTTTATTGCATTAACAAATTACTCATGGCAAATTGAATGTAATTTAGATTGGAATATTCGGCCCATGGCTCATAATGATATTTCATTTTTAGCCTTTTACACGAAAAAGTTTGTCCACCCCTGATTTAGAGGATGTCACAAACTTTTATGTAATCATTCGTTCATTTTCTTTTTGGTTTAGTCCCTTTATTAATCAGGGGTCACCACAGCGGAAAGAGCCGCCAACTTATCCAGCATATGTTTTACTCAGCGTATGCTCTTCAAGCTGCATCCCTGTTCTGGGAAACACCCATACACTCTCATCCACACACATACACTATGGGCAATTTTGCTTACCCAATTCACCTACACCACATGTCTTTGGACTGTGGGGGAAACCGGAGCGGAGAAAATGCAAACTCCACACAGAAATGCCAACTGACCGAGCCGAGCCGACCAGTGACCTTCTCGCTGTGAGGTGACAGCGCTACCAATTATGCCACCACACCGCACTTTTGTTTATATGTATATATATATATATATATATATATGTATGTATTTATATATATATATATGTATGTATGTATGTATATATATATATATATACACACACACACACACACACACACACACACACACACACACACACACATATATATATATATATATATATATATATATATATATATAGTTTGGGTTTTGTTCTTTTCATTTCTTTAGCGCTGCCCGCGTCCCTTCTGCCAGCTGTCTTGTTTTTTTTCCCGTCTTTATTTGTCACAGTGTTGTACATATTGTAAATAGTATATTTTTGCCTTATTACTTTTTCTGTATTTTTGATTAATTTGTTGTTGTTGTTCACTTTGGGATCGTAAATAAAAGCACACATTTTTTTTGGCATTACTTTGGTTGTATTTCCGCTCATTCACTGTTTATATAAATATATTTAAATTAAATAAATGTCAAACCCCACTATCCCCTAGATTAACATCAGGGGTTTGTAACAGTATATACACACATGCCCACGCAGATGCACAAAATGACTTATGTACCAGGTTTTAAAGATATTCTTATTCTGAGTTAAAGTTTTTAATTAACAGTAGTGTATAAAGAGGAAGATAAAAAGTATTACTTTGTTGTGTGGTTACTATTATGGGCAATTTATTGCTTGTCTACAAAGATAATAGACCTCAATATTCAGTTTTATTGTATTGCTTTTAAAATATCATTACCAAATAGAACTCTAAAGTCTCTAAAACACAGGTGTCAAACTCAGTTCCAAAAGGGCCGCAGCTCTGCACAGTTTAGTTCCAACCCTAATTAAACACACCTGATCAAACTAATTGAGTCCTTCAGGCTTGTTTGAAACCTACAGGTAAGTGTGTTGGAGCAGGGTTGGAACTAAACTGTGCAGGGCTTCGGCCCTCCAAGGATTGAGTTTGACACTCCTGCTCTAAAACAACTAATTTTGAAATATTAACATGGCTTTCATAACTGAATGGATGCCTTGTACTCCGAGTAATTAAATAAAAGTGTGTAACATTGTATAAATACAATGGGGAAAAAGGGTTTTAATGTTGTATATCAGTTAATATTATTATTTACTTTTATCGACATGGATCATAAAAAATTCTATTTTCGAACAGGTATCAGGTATCGCTATTAATACAGTGCTCAGCATATGTAAGTACACCCCACTCACAAATCTATCTTTTAAAATCCTTTTTTAAATACGAAGCTGTACAATATTATATTTGTGCACATACATTAAATTAGTCAGCCAAATCTGGAGCTTATCTAACAAAATAACTTACGATAACAGTCCAAAAAGTAGTACACCCAAATTTATATGGGTCACACTTTATTTTGATGGTCCATTTGTTGAATTGAAATTACATTGCATTTACATGCCAACTAATTCTTATTAGATTATAAGTAGACTGTTAGGTTGGGGTTAATGTTATGGTTGGGGTTAGGGTTAGTGTATGTTGACATGTACAAAGACTATTTTTTATAGTCATTTAAATGTCTGCATTAAATGTCTGCAGTATCAACAGATATTAAGCAGACAGTCTACTAATACTCAACTGGACCATCAAAATAAAGTTTTACCTTTATATGTTTTAAAAATATATATATTAAATACAAATTTAAAACAAGAGGAAAAATCAAGAGAAGTGGAAAAAAAGAGATAAAAATTTTGCAGAATTTTTTTTTTTCCTCAATATTTTGCTTGAATTTAATTGTATTCTCTTTTAATTTCTAAATATGTTTGGCGTCTAAAATATGATTTTAATAAATGTATCTGTTTAATAAATCTGTTTTGTTTTATATCACCAAAAGACATTGCCTATATTCACTGATAAATGGATAAAAATATTCTTTTCAACATGGGGTGTACTCAATTATGCTGACCGCTGTATAATGAATTACCATATTATTGTTTGAAGAGATCCAAAACTCAACATACAAATGAGTTGTGAAGTTTAAGACACTTAAACAGAGACACTTCTGAAGTAAAACAATGTCTTTTAAACTTTAATCTCTGAGACAGTTTTTTTTTCTCTTAATATTACTGTCATAACAGGATAAATGCCTTGTGCTACCTATATTTTTTTTTAATAACAGTCTGTAACTTACTGCATAAAAAAATGATAGTGAGAAAATATTATCATATTGTAGTAGTTAAGAATATCAAATTTGTAAGACATTTTAGAGGATCTTCCCCACAGTAATCAAAAGACATAATATTAAAAACAGAACAGATTTCAGTTGATTTGTTTCCTTTGCCTTGCATCACAAAAAAATAAGCTTGTCTAGAGAAAGTAAAGGCACAGTGTTATTTTGAAGGTGTGAAATGATGTTCTTACCTCAAGCTGCTCTGCTGCGTCTGGGGCTTTTGTCAGTAATGTGCGAGTGGAGCTGTGTGATAAATAAACCTAAAATAGTGGGTGGGCTTTACCGTTATACACTACCAATGAAAAAAATCATACGTGCTGGGACCCTTTTCTCTTTAGAAGAACCAGTTGTGTGGTCTTAAACGACCACTGCAGGGCTGAATGTGGTGAAACACAACCTACATATTGTGACAATGGAAGATGTGAGCATTATTCATGTTGACCTGTCAATTGTTCAAACATGAAGCATGGAGAGCCTGACAGGGA